AGATTGCTCGCCAAGGGAGAAGTGGACATACGAGTTGGAAATAGAGCACATGTGGCTACATTAGCTGTAGGGACTTATTATTAGAACTCAAAGACTGTTATTTTATACCTACGATTTCTAGAAACATTATTTCAGTATCCGCTTTGGATAATATAGGATATCGTTTTGAGATTTCTAATGGATTGTTGTCCTTTAATTTGAATGGTATTCTATTTGGAATTGCAAGGTTATATAACAGATTATATGTTCTTGATTTGAACAATAAGGATATTCTCAACGTTGAAACTAAGAAAGCTAAACATAACAAACAAAACCATACATATCTCTAACATTGTAGATTGAGTCATGTAAAGTAGACCCGCATTGCAAAACTTCAAAGGGATGAAGTTTTGGACCTTTTTGACTTACAGTCATTTAAGGTATGCGAGTCATGCCTTTTAGGCAAGATGACCAAGTCACCTTTCACATGACCAAGTGAAAGGGCTACTCAGCTTCTCAAATTTGTGGCCGTAGATCTGACCGAAAAAGGCTAGATTGGTGCATAACCGGCCAGATTCCGCCAGTCGTTTGCCATTCCGGCAGATTCCGCCACCTTCTGGCAGTGGTGGTCAGCTACCAACAATATGTGGGTAGGTGGAGGTGTTTTTGTCAATTTATAAACTTTTATTATAGGGGTGTTTAGTTAAATTAACAAACCTAGAAGGTTAAAAATAATCGAAATATTTTCAGAAAATTCAATTTAGAAATGTACCAAAAACTACTTAGAATCCTATCCTATTTTCCAAAAATGCTAAATAGCATAGAATGCTATTCTAAATAAACAGAGCCTTCAATTTTGATTTTCTTTTTTGGTGACTAGATGTCTACACCAGCTTGCGTACAACTCGATTAATCCTTAAGATCCATTAAACAAACAATTTTGATCTTTTACTGACAAGAGTTTGCAATTTTGATCTAAATTTAAAGATAAAATCTTGCTAATTGCTAAATTTTAGGTTTTATTTCGTACACTCGACACACAATATTTTTCGAAACTATTAAAAACCCTTAAGACAAGGGAATTTTAATAATTTAGAAGGTATTTAATAATTATTGGGGGGTTTTTGATACCTTTTAAAAAATAAGCAATCCCACAAGGGGTTGTAAAATATCAGCCCCTAAATTTTATTGCTTTCCATTTGCGTACAAGAATATTCCTCGAGCATGAAATGAAGTGATTCGAATATTGGAAATAAACCAAATCAAGGAGGGATGAATTTGATATACACATATAAAATTTAAATAGTTTTTTTTTTAATTTTTTAATGAACTTGCCACGTGGACTGGGCATTTGAATCAATTCGCGGGCATTTGAAATTTTAAATAAATTTCCTGGCAAGAGTTAAGCTGTGTTATAAGTTACGACTTACGACTACAGAGACCAATAAATTATTGCCACGTGGATCGGGCCGTTGAATTGAATTCGTCTGCCAGGCTTTATATATAAACAAGTCCGTTCGTCTCTCGCTCTCAAACTCACACCAAAACTCTCTCAAATTCGAGCCCGCGATGATGGACGAGGAAATGGACGAGACGGAAGCCGTTCCGCAGGTCTAACTTTTATTACGTTTTTCACGTTTCTTACCATCTGTTTGGTTCTCGAGAAAAGAAAACAAAGGAAAACAGAAGAAATCACAAATTTGAGTTGGATTTCGTTTTAGCTTTTTCAGTTTTTAGATTACAAAAAATGCAGCTCAACTAAGTTTAATACGATCTATTAGGTTCAGATTAGATTCATCTTTGAGTGTAGGTTTGAGGTTTCAGTTTTCAAATTCTGATATACTCTGTTTGGATGCCGAGAAAATAAGGAAAGAGCAGATGTCTCCTGTTTCGTGTTTTTTCTGTTCGATGAAATGTGATAACACGTTGAACTCAACCTTAAGCTAAATTCAGTTTTACCAGGCTACAGTTGATATAAAGTACTATTAACTTGTTTTTTAAACTAAAAATTACGGGAGATGTAGACAGTTTTGCGCTTTTGAAATATTTTGACGGAAAACATTTTTTAAATTTCTTGTATCAATTGTTTCTAAAAATAAGAAATTATTTCCTAATTCCAAATTAAACAGGCATGTTCTGATGTCTGATATATAAAGATAGCCAAGTGCGTTATACCATCAATATAATATTGTGCAGTATCGTCTTGTGAAGTTAATCTATTTATTTGAAACCAAATGCAGGTCTATATGGCATGCATTCTACACGGTCATCGGTGAGCTTTTGACTTGCATTACTATTTTCTGTTTATAATACTTTGGAAGTCCTAGTTACATGTCAAGATGGCAATCAAAAAGTTCATGTATAGGGTCAAATTTTGCAGTCGTAGTGTTTGATTAATCGGTGTCGATTATAAAAAAAATTAAGGGGTTAGATTTTGTTATAAGATTTCGTAACATATAATGAAGATACTAACATAAATAGCTTCGTTAAACATCCTGTCCAGAGTTGGAGTTTCTTATTATGATTCCAGCATCCGCCAGCTTCATGTGCTGGAAGTTTGGGAAGATAGTAACTCAGACTTTCCCCTGATTGATCTGGGTACGGATTTCGTCTCTTTTTAATGGAGTCTATTTCCAATGATGCTACATTTTACTTGGCATTATGCTTCTTGATGATTGAAATGATAACATGTTGGTTTGTTATGCAAATTACTGTGTTACTCCTAGTGTTTCAAAATATTTTATCTCATTCTCTTTATTCATTTATGGTGTATAAGCTAATTATCAAATTCATTTCTTATTGGCTGAAACTCTGGTTCAGTAAAGTATCAAGCTCAGCCCCTGATAATATATACAAGCACTAAAAGTGAAGAATCCTTTTTGTCCGCTTTACAACGAAATGGTAAGCTGTCCTTAACTTGAAGACTTATGGTGTATCATTTTGTGGGTCCTTCTTATTCTGTTAATTGATGCAGATGTGATGACAAAGGCTCCTGAAGTGAAGTTTGTAAAAAGCTCAATATTTAGCTATGAGCAAGCATGGCACAGGTACTTAGGATTAGTAAATGAAAGTATTAAATATGTGCTGAAACTTGTTTCATAGTTTTGGAGTTAAATAAACTTTGTTGAATTACTAAGTCCTAAATGGACAATTTAATGAGTATACTTTCCTTGTTTGGATATTATAGGTTGGTATACCTTCGTGTCACAGGAATGGATGATGGGTTAAATATCAAGGAGAGGATTTGCTATGTAAGTTGCAACATCTCAAATATTACTGTATATTATGATCATTTATAACAAGCATGCCTAAGATCAGTATCTTCTGCATTTCAAGGCAGACGCGCTGATGTACACTCATATATACTATTAATCAGAAATCTTATTTGTCCATTCAAAGCACTTTATTGCATATTAACATGACTGCAATATTTGAAGACATGTACCTCTGGTACATGGTATTATTAAATCATTTGCTTTGAAGGTTTAGCATTGAGGATAACTTTTTATATATATTTGATCCTTTAAACATTCTTCTGCGTTGGTAGCTCATTAATTTAATTGGTGTACATATTATGTAACCATGAAAAGACTTTACATCCATTGTTATTATATATCTTTTTCCCAATTCAGGGTCTCGTTGATCACCTATTTTCTTATGAAAACATTTGAGTCTTTATGATCCATGACGGTGAGCTTATAAAGCATAGTTTTTCCTGTGTCTTTGAAGCTGTCACAAGCTTTTTGAAAGATATGACTATTGTATTTCCTTTTTTTACTTGTTTTGTTTTATGGTGTTAGCAAAGCCATGACTCAATGATCGCTAGACAAATCATTTTGGCGCAGTATATGATTATTTATCCTGATGCCTAACATCTTATCTCTTTCATCTACTATAGCTTAGTTCTATGATGGACATTGGAAGTGAGGTTCAAGTTCGTGCAAGTGGGGGCCTTCTGGCCATATTAGAGAATGAAAGGATCGTAGATACCCTGGAACAAAAGGAAAGTGGGAATGCATCAATCACAATTGATTCTGTAATGGAAATTTCATTGTATCTTTTGTATAGATTTAATTCTTAAACATTAAGTTTTTGGGTTTCAAATATAAAAGTTCATTATATGAATATCAGACTATAATTTGTATCCTTGACAAATCCGAAAAGAAACAAATTTCTTAAACTTGATGCGACAGCTCATGAAGCATTGCAGATATTCCAAACGGACAAACATCCAAGCCATATGGGCATTGGTAGAGCAAAAGAAGGGTAAATGCTGTACAATCGTTAAAAATGATTAGTTCAAATATATGTACTGATTTCTCGAAATGCAGGTTCTCCGTGTTTGGCATGATGAATAAGGTAGTAGAAGCTATTTGTTTTTCAGCTTTACTGTATCTATTGGCTTATTGGACTAATTTATTTGCCTTCCCTTCAGTGTGTGACACCAATGGGTAGACGTCTCCTAAGGTAATTCAAGTTGAGAAATTTGTGATGATACTACTTGCAAGATTCACTCTTACCAACGAAATGACGAATGATTACCTTGCTCCAGAAATTGGTTCCTGAGACCTATAGTGGACCTCGAAAATTTGAATGGTCGTCTGAATGCTGTATCCTTTCACTCTGATTGTATGAAGACTTCGTTTAATTTGTCGAATTTAAAACTCAGCCGAGTGGCTTGTTACGGTTCATAATAAACTACTAACAGATCTTGCAAATGAAGTCCATATGCATCTCACATGTCATGTCTCAAAATTGACTTTTCAATCTTCAAAGTTGATTTTCTTATTCTAACATAACCAATGTCATCCTTTAATAATTTAAAAGATATCATTCTTTCTTTGTTCTGAAGAACTGATGGCCTCTTTATACGAAACTCTGAAGTCTGTGAAGGACATCCCCCACTTACTCAAGGTACCGTCATTCATTTATTCAGTTTTCCTTTTTATCATTTGGAAAAGCAAACTTTCCAGATTTATTCTTTAGTTACAGTTGCTGCATGTGTCAATCAGATGTTGGAATTAAAACCATTTTATAAATAAATAAATCTTGGGAACTGATTGCTAAATTTTCTTTTTGTAGTCTCGGTTTCACTTAGAGACAAATTTGAAAATTGCTATTTAGTTATTCCTTTATTATGCTAAAAGAGCAACCTTTTAGCTGCTGTTTTGGTTTCTATCTTGCAATAATGGTGAATTGCTGTCTCAAAAGTGAGTTCAATATTCGGTTATGATTAAAAATCAGTCTGATCATTCTCATTATCATCCCTTAGTGTAAAGATATCTCTTTTATCATTTAGGTTATCCTGAATCTCAGCAATTCATTCATTTGTTTTTGCTAGAAATTCAACTCCCCGAGCTCCACGTGTACTGCTAGTGACTGGGCAGCATTTTTGAAGGTGTGCAAGTATCCAATTGAAATGCTTTCATCCACATTCCTTTCTGACAGTCCACTGATTTTTTGTATTTCACTTGTCTGGCTAACTGAAAGCTATACTCTCCAACTCTTTTGTCATCTTCTTTTATGTTTGCATCACATGACTCTGCACAAAACCTGGTTTCTTAGGATGATATAACGGTAGTGAATGACAATTTCAATTCTTCCACCCGAACAGTGCTATCATGTGCATGGAACAGATGAGTTACTGAAGCAGCAAGGAGAAGTTTTGGGTGAGATAACATGGTGTGACATTTTATTATTTCTTCTCTTGTAGAGCGTTTGTGCACTCTTGCATGTGACCAAGATATTTGAGGTGGGCATTTCCGAAGGTCTTCAAGAGCAGTTGAGGCTTTTGAATTTAGATATTGTTGAGAAGGTATCAGACTATATATCTAACATGAAGTTTCCCTGAAATCATATATTATTATTCTTGAGGTTTCTTCATTTACTTTGTTGTTACTAGTTTTGTTAATGGTTGTCTAATTATTTGCAGGCTGCTTCATGCATCACAACAGAGCTGGCCTATGTCTATGAATTGGTTGACCCATATCCCTTTTCTTCTTCTTATTGCATCTTATTTACAAAGTACTAATTTTTGTTATATTTTTTGTTTGGCCTGTATCCCTTGCTCCAATTGTTGCAGTTACCGCTCCAGGAACATTTGTTATTCCCCTTTTTTATAGATCAAATTTATGAGATTGACAATTATGTTCTGTAGGTGATTGGTGTCATTGATGTAAATAGAAGTAAAGAGAAGGGATATGGGACATTAGTGAAAGAAGGTTTCTGTGATGAGGTTAGCCGTCGGCAATAATTCTCCAGTCCTTTATTTATTAATTTTGGATGTTTAAAGTCAGCGTAATATTTCTGTGTCCCCTCTTCCGATGGCACACAACCTGCTCTTGTTCTTTCCTCAGTTTCTTTTTAAAAAAAATATTGTATTCAGCATAACATTTCCCCTATGAACTCAGTTTGATGGAAGCTGACTGTTGAATTTAATTCGAGATGATTTTTTCTTTTTTTTTTTTTCCAAAACGTTTGCTTGGCCAAAATCCGAAATTTTAGTTGCATACTTGTTTACAGTTGGATGAGTTGAGGCAAATATACGAGGGACTGCCTGAATTTCTTGAAGAGGTACTTGTGAAACGGATTTTATTGTTCAAAATTAAACATAAATTGAAATGAAATATTTACCTAGTTCTATTTTGATTTTAGCAATTCCTTGCAGGTGGCAGGATTGGAGCTTGGAGAACTTCCTCATTTGTATAAAAACAAGCTCGTTCCCTGTATTGTTTACATAAATCAAATAGGTTGGTCTGTCTTGCACAGCATGAATACTACATAACATTCACAGCATCTAATAGGAGTTGTATGGATTTCATTTTTTATCTTAACATATGATTTACATCCATTTATCTGTACACAGTGTTTCCAGGGGGAAAAGGAAAAAAAATTTAACTTCTTTAAGAAAGAAATAATTCTGTGGGTCTCTTTAATTTGTTAGCTCTTCAAGATGTTTCGCTGATGCCCGCCTTCTTTAGATTCCATATAATTCCATCTTAACTTGTGGAATACTGGAGATCTTTTTTATTAAAGTTTTTTCTCATTCTTGTCAATAATTGTTTTTTATATATTTTTCCATTGTAGGATACTTGATGTGTATTTTTGAAGAAAAACTAGATGACATTACTCTAGAGAAACTTCAAGATTTCGAATTTGCGGTAATTTGATGCTTGTTTTATGTTTAAATGAATATCTTAAGTCATTAGTATTATATATCGCATAGATGCTTAAAATACTGTTTTATCAAATGTAGTTTTCTGACGCGGATGGAGAGACAAAAAGATTCTTCTATCGTACCCCAAAGACTCGTGAATTGGACAATCTTCTTGGAGATATTTATCATAAAATTCTAGGTATGTAATATGAAATTAATGTTCTTATGTGATGTTTAGAGTTTATCAACTGCTTGAAACAATAAAATATTGATAAGAGTGGTGGACTGCGTGGTTCATCATTTGGTAGTTAATGAGTGACGGGATACAAAGAATTAGGACATAATCTCTGTGACTTCTATTATTTTTTTAATGTATTTATGAGATCTTCCTTATAAATGATTCTCATTCTTAATTTAAAGATATGGAGAGGGCAATCACTAGAGACTTGGTGTCACATACACTCGTTTTCTCAACTCATCTACTTAAGGCTGTCAATTTTGCTGCAGAACTTGATTGGTAAGAATCATTTCCACCACCGACACCGTGTCCCTTTCTTTGTGTGCGTTGTACCAACCCCTTTTCTTACTATTATATGTTCATATTGTTATGTAGCTTTTTGTCATTGGCAATAGTTGCCCATCAAAACAATTACGTGAGGCCCATTTTGACTCAGGAAACGTCGCTTGATATACAAAATGGAAGGTGAGAACTGACTGGTTTCCGTTCATCATATTGTAAGACTGAACCACTTTAAAAGTTCTTTTTGGCTTTAGTTGTAGTGATAAGGGATGGGTAGGGTGTGTTTCGAGTAATATTAGTTTCAATTCTTACCAAGAAAAAAAAAAATTAAAATAATGACAAGGAGAAAATTAACAATTATTTTTATGACAATTTGCAGGCACCTTTTGCAAGAAATGACAGTGGATACATTTATTCCCAATGATACAAAGATTTATAATGATGGTGAGATGAAAAATATGAATTCAATCATAGCTACTGATCCTTTTCTTAACTCGTGAAAACAGAGCCTGTTCCTGTTAATCCTACCAATTCTTTTATTTAACTTCCAAGCTCTGGTTGTTTCAGGAAGGATTAATATCATCACTGGTCCCAATTATTCAGGAAAAAGCATCTATATAAAGCAGGTCAGAAAATATACTTTTAAACTCTTATAAACACCATTTGAGTGTTCATGCGTGAGTTGCGGAAATGGCTACTGACTTTACATGTGTGAAACTTTTTCCAGCATAGCACTCCATTTGAAATACAAGTATTATGATAAAGTCTTTTCCTTTTTTCCCAGGTGGCTTTGATTGTTTTTCTTAGCCACATAGGAAGTTTTGTACCTGCTGATGCTGCTACTGTTGGGTTGACTGATAGGTGTGTCCCTCCATATTGCTGACATCTTTCTTGGAGATTCCAGCATATATATCTTTTGTTTGTCAAATACTTGTATTTATTCTAACAGTGTTAAATTTTAACAGGATATTCTGTGCAATGGGAAGCAAGCATATGACCGTGGAGCAATCAACATTTATGATTGACCTACATCAAGTAGGGATGATGCTAAGGTATTCCCAGATAAAGCCAGTTATGATAATTTAATACCACAGCATTTTTAAGTCATTATTTTTATTGTCTGTCTCTCATGATCCTTGCTCTCTGGACTCTGTTAGTGTGTGTAATGGACCTTCTTTTTCTTCTAAATCCAAATGGTTTCATGATTGGTGATGTATTAAAAGTAGCGCTTGTGCTGTAAATAATCAAAATGCTTGAGTAGCTGGATGCTTATAGTGAAAAGTTAAATTTACCTGATGGTACTCTAAACTCGTGTCTATTTATTGTTGATAAATTGCACAGGCAGGCAACTTCTCGGTCATTATGTCTTTTGGATGAATTTGGTAAAGGTACTCTTACAGAAGGTTAGTCTTGCCTTTGTTTTGAGATGTCATGTACATTATTCCCGCAATACCAAAGACAATATTCATTGAATAACTGCCCTCAATGTTCAAATCAGATGGCATTGGTCTGCTTGGTGGAACCATAAATCATTTTGTCACTTGTGATGATCCTCCAAAGGTTTGCAGATCCTTTCCTGCCATAATCACACATTATGGGCGACTAGTGATGGAAAATGCTGTACTGATTTCCAGGTTTTGTTGTGTACTCACTTGACCGAGTTATTCAATGAAAGCTGCTTACCAAAGGTATGCATATTTGCAAAGTAGCTGCCTATTTGCCTTGTTTCATAGTTTTGGTGCTATGAAGTGAAATTTGTTTCCCCTTTGATTAATTTCAGTCCGAGAAGGTGAAATTTTACACCATGAGTGTGCTCAGACCTGAAAACAACTCTACAAACATTGAAGACATCGTGTTTCTATATCGGTATGTTTTTAGTTGTTTTGAATCAAGACTCTGTATAGGAATGAGAAGAACAAATAGAATGCCAATTTTTGCAATGACTTGATTGTTGTTGTTAGTACTGAGCCATAACAAAAATGCATTTTGTTTTCTTGCAGGCTAGTTCCTGGACATGCACCTCTTAGCTATGGTGAGTTTTTTTATGTTAATGCATGCTGGGGTTTGAGCTGGAAATTTTATTGAAACTCACATCAGTCTATATCCTGCAGGACTGCAATGTGCACTACTTGCTGGTAAGTTTAGATAAAAACGCAAGTAAAAATTTCTTGAAGGTGGTTGTTTACATGTTACAATGTTGAGTCAATTACATTTTTGGTCCTCCCGTTTTTGTTCTTGAGACTTTTAAAGACTAGCAAATACGTCCGTCTAGTTTACAGGCGTTATATTCAATTTAACAGAGCACGGTCATTCCAATTATTTAACTATTTGATGTAGGTGTGCCGGAGGAAGTGATCAAGAGAGCTGCAAATGTGTTGGATGCTGTTCAAAATAACAGGCATGTCGAGCGCTCGAACCATGCGAATATATTAGCTCGAGATCAGCAATACAAGGTTTTAATTATGTTTCTTCAGATTCTTGATCTAAAAGATTTGTCACTATGGAATTCAATTAACCATCTTTTCAATTCTCGTATTTTATGAACTTTCACTATTTTGAATTGATTGCAGGATGCAGTTGAGAAGATGTTGACATTTGATATTCATAAGGGCGATCTCAAACTCTTCTTCCAAGACTTGTTCCCCTCTTAATTGCATCAAAGGTTCTGATTTATTACTAGCTAGTTTGATTTTTCTTAAGAAATTTATACAAGCATCACTTTAAATATGATTTGACAAAGTTTATATATTCCTTTTGGATCTTTTTAATATGCTCTTCAGTTCATATTCCTGAAAGCTTAAACAGATACCAGATGCCTCACATTCATCGGAAATGTGTATTGTGATGGACCATCAAAAATAGTATCCACAAAAATGCGAGTAACTGCCTGTGTTGGATGGACAAAATCCCAAAAGATATGATCACTTCGGTTGGCGCAATAGGTAGAAACGGGGACGCAAGGGATTTTGGCCTTCAGTTTCCCAAGCCCACAGCAAGCTGATTTAACCTCTTTAAAGCCTGAAATAAAAATAATAACTCGTTTATTACAAATCCAAGAATACGAAAAAGAGTAAAAAATAATAATTTAAGAAGAATCACTGTACCATTAGAGGCTGGATTATTAATGATGTTTAGCATAACATTGTAAGTGTCAAAGTAGGAGTAAGATATGCCCTTGAGCTCTCCTTGTAATGCCGGCAACATTGACTTGAGTGCCTCATTGTACATAGCGGCCCAGTTACTTAGCTCTTTACTGCATTCTTCTGTTTGGTTCTTAACCCTTTGTAGCGGAGTGCACCCAATAGGCCCCAGCCCAGGAAACACAAATTTACGTGCACCATAATTGTACAGTTTCTGCCAAAGAAAAAAGAGACCATCTTCAAGTATTTAAAATTTAAAATCATGAACCTGAAAGAAACATACCCTCTTCTTAGTTACCTTTAACTGTCCTTTCAGAGAGTTAGCCATTAGATTGACATATTGCTGGGGCGTGTTCTTCTTTTGAAGGTCGGATTTTCCAGAATAGTCGAAGATATCGTTGCTACCGATCACAATGGCAAAGAGAGATTTGGCCAAGCGCTGTTGTGCACTGGAGGTTCCTAGCTGTTGCACTAAAGCTTTGTACACATTTGCATAGTATTCCACTTGGGTAGGTAAAGGAATTGATTGATGCTGTTAAAGAGATTACATAAAGTTAAAGTTTAAAAGGCACAAGCGGGGATAGCTCAGTTGGGAGAGCGTCAGACTGAAGATCTGAAGGTCGCGTGTTCGATCCACGCTCACCGCAAATCTTTTACTTTTTATTTTTCAACTAAACAGAATTTTAACAAAATTGTTTGTGACTTACAAGAGTTTGATCAGATCCATTGAAGATTCCCGCACCTCCAGAGGCAAAGCTAACACCAGTGAGGAATAATGGTGCCTTATTTTTGTTGGATTTTAAGGAAAGATATGGCGGCGAACTGGGTAACCCCACTTTCTCAGCTGCCCATATATGCATCAGCCATCAGAAAAATACACAAACACTATCTAATTATAATGGACACAGTTCAACTGTGTCTTTTTTTTTTATGCTATGAAACAGTAGCATATATAGACCAAATATTTATCAGATGTCAATGGTATATTGGTCTTGTCCTGGTTATGTTAATCATATATTAAGCAAACTCTGAGCTCTGTCTGTATAGTGAAAGGTGACTTGATTATAACTAAAAGTTTTTATCTAACAAGTGGAGTTTACTCGGTTTTGAAAAAGGAAAAGTTAGAGGCATGTTAAATGGTAAAAGGTGTATGAAAACATAATCAAATAATAATCTGAAAAGCTATGGCATAAAGTTATAGATTGAGAAGAATCTTAAAGGAAGTAAAGATATGCACATGAAACCCAGGAACTAACTTTTACCACATGCCAAGAAGCATCCATATCAGCATCCACTTTATTGGTAAAATAGTTGACCCAAATATTCAAACTTACTGTTGATATATTCTGATGCTCAACCATATTGAATGGTAAAGAATAGAATAGCACAAAAATGGAGAAACAATGAAATATTGGGGTTCATGAAAAGGTGACAATGAAAAAAGAGATTTAAAAAGTTGTATAAAGTTAGTAAAATATATGTCAAATAAAAGATGAAACTCTACGGTAAAACTTAATTACCAAGAAAATCAGCAGCATTCTTGCCATTTGTAAACCTCCCAGTCGGTTTCTTGGTGGGAAAATCGACGCCGTTGTGAGGAAAATCTGCTTTGGAAACTGAAAGAGGAAGGTAATTGTTGTTGCCAACATCAACCAAAGAGTCTCCGAACACAAAAATAGCAGGAACCATTTGAGCATCCGAAAAACTCAAACTCAAACTCAAGAACAAGCTTGTAAGAGCCAGAAACCAGAAAATAGTATTGGAGACCATTTCTCAGCTCTAAAATGAAGCTCTTACTGACTAGTTTTTGCTATGTTTTGTGCTGAAAATATGAAAGCGTGGACTGGTTTTATAGCCGATAAGAAGAGAGTCGTAATGAACCAAAAAAGGGTTCGTTTCTTAGTGTGAAACGAAGACACTTTAGATAATTACGTTCATTTGTTGTCACCATACATATAATGGTGTGTTCTCATAAAGATTACTACTTTGTTTTTTTTTTCTCTTTTTTTTATTAAGACTTTAATTTATATATTATTAATATGTGTAAGTGTGGAATCTTAGTTTGTCCAATTCAAATACTATTTTTGTTTTTTATAATTCAAAAATCTCTAATTCGTTTAATATAGAATTATATATATAAGTAGTGTTTTTTATTTATTATTTTTTTTTTAATCGGAAGTGTTTGGATCAATTTGTGCACACCTCGACTAACCTGAAGTTAACGTTCAAGAGAATTGAATTTAAGAGTTCTTAAATAATACGCCTAAGAGTTTCTATTTCCTTACTTGACCACTTAGGGGTGGTTTATATATGCTTATAAATAGTATTTATAGGAGTTTTTCATAGGTTGTGAGATCAAACCATAAGTATGTAACAATTGACCAAATTCCAATTAGTAAATTTATCTGTTAAAATAAGTTATTGGAAAAAAAAAAACAATAATAAATCAAACGGCAATCATCACAAGAAGACACTACCATCTTGTGAATTATTTAGCAAAAGCTGTGGCTTGGCAGTTGTATGGTTTGTGAGATCTTTTATTGGCCCACTTTTTTTGTTTTTCTTCTTTTTTATCTCTTTATTAAATTACTAGTTTAACTGAAATATCTCATGAGCTCCTTTATTCTTTTTACCAATTACATTACCCTTTTAGCCTTCTCCCCTATGATTGGACGGCAAACACGTTAGTCATTTAGATTAATTATACCTAAAAATCTTATATTCGAGTCATAAAAGGGATAAGTACCTAGTTTACCCAAAATTATTTTATTCTTTTTTGTTCTTAATTACATAATTAATAGAGATTCACATATTTTAAATTGATAAAAATTGGAGGGTTTTATGTATCTATAAATTTGTCGATGTGTTAAGATCTCATATTAAAAGAGAAAATAGTAGACAGATGAGTTATAAAAAACTTGGATACCCACTCTTAGCAAATCGGTTTCAAAGCAATAAAAACCCGAGAGAAAAGGGCATAAAAAACTTGGATACCCACTCTTAGCAAATCGGTTTTTAAAGCAATAAAAACCCGAAAGAAAGGGGATCGCCGTGGTCAACCAACCAAGGTTATAGAGGTGTTGGTTGATTGATACAAGAAGATATTGGTTATAATACTTCTAATGATTCTAGAATACAAGGGTAGAGAAATGATGGACAAATCTAGAAGTGGAGACAATATCTGAAAAGACATGTCTGAAAATTATGGCCCCAAATCCCAATTTCCATTTGGATGAAATAGAAAGCTCCTTGTCATACCAGCTCATCACTCTCTGGGATTCCAGAATTACACCACCGTCCCATTTTCATTCCACTTTCCTATTTTTTTTTATTTTAACGTATTATTTTCAAGTTTAGAATTTAATATTCATATACCAAATTTCTTTACATCCTGAGGTCTTTCTCTTGATTTTTGCACTAACAGTAACATATCAAACAATTTAAAACAACGTTTTTGTTATGGGATTGAAAATGTCAAAGCGGCGGGTTTGATTTGTGTCATAGATAGACATATTTCATTAGGCTATGATGTTTTTTTTTTTTTTTTAACCACACTTAAATCATGCATGTTCGGATAAAAAATCAAACATGAGACCGTACATCTATTCACACTATCTTACAGTCTGTCCTAACCATTTAGACTACCTACGGATGGGTTCATAAGGTTATAATTATAAGTAAAAATTGTGAGTTTGTGCCTATGACATGAAATTGATTTAGAATCTTCAAGTAACACATTTTGTTTTTAATTACCATAGTGTCCAGGCCAATTTGTACGCATCTCAACTAATCAAGTCCATTGAACACCCTATAAGCTTAATATTTCAAGGTAAGCCACAAATACGATAGATAACCTTAAAATGGTTCGAACCTAAGAGATCAATAAAAAGAATAAACCTTCTTGACTGTCGAATCAATCTTAGAGTTCAAGTCACTATTCATTGATGGTTGCCCACCCAAAACAAAAAAAAAGAAAAAAAAAATTATAATAAAGAATTGTGTTAAGGTGAAAGAAGACATAGAGGTAATTCTATTCTAAGTGAATCTCTAATTATTAAGAGCAATTCGATGTCTTTTCTTGTAAAGTCAACTATATTATTGAAGCTATAATTTATCATAATTCCTCCAGGTTGAGGCCTTAATTTGCTTGGTACCCTAACAACCCACTAGCCATTGACTCATCACCAGTTAGCCGGCTGGCACCTGATGCACCACCACCGCCGTGGAATTCCATTTCCGGTGGGCCATGGCTAAGTTGGTGCACCACTAAATGAGTGGTTCTAGATTTAACCACACCATGGCTTGAAATGTGAATTAAAGCCCACATTTTCAAGCTCATAATCTTGTAATTTGTTACACATGGAAACCAACACAAAACTTTAAAGAAGCTTCCACTATTTTATTTTACTAATTTTTTTTCATATTGTTTTATTACTTAGGAGGCGTTTCGACCATATAATGTTTTATTATAGGGGATATTATATTAACAGAATAAAAAATCACTTTGAAGATTATTAGGAATGTTTAGAAAATGTGTTTGGTTTGTTCAAATAAATTGGTGAATAATACGTTTGGTTAGGAGGATAAATAGATGGATATGTTATATAGATTCCAAAATTGCCTTCCTTTTTAAATATTAATATAATATATTTTTTATTATTATTTTTTGAATAATTTCTTTTAACCCCATACTTTTCAGATTTAGCAAAATCACCTTGGCAACTAAAAACGTTTTAAACTTAACAAAAACACCCTCATTCACCCCAAGACACTGCCGACAACTAGCCACCACAGTCGACGGCCGCCAACAGTGCCATAGATCTGGTCATGGTTGTGAAATGGCTAGGTCTTTGGTTGTGAAATGGCCAGGTCTTTGGTTGTGAAATGCCGACTGTTTCACGACCAAAGACCTGGCCATTTTCGACCATAGATTTGTGATCCATGGTCGAAAAGGACCTCACATGGCCGATCGTACACCATTATGGCGACTTTTGACAGCCTCTGACGGTAGTCCACGGTGGTGGCTAGTTTTGTGTACAATGACATTTCTGAAAATAATGACAATAACAAGAGCAGTGTCATCCAGAAAATTTAAAAAGTGAGGACAAAGGGGTCTGCATGAGTGAATTGGGGTGTTTTGTAAATCTTAACAAATATAAGGCTAATTTAGATCAAATGCTCAACTTTTTAGGGGCAATATGGGAAACAAAATCAGATTGCAGTATGGGTTTGATTTGTGTCATAGATAGACATATTTCATTAGGCTATGTTTTTCTTTTTTTAACCACACTTAAATCATGAATATTCAGACGAAAAATCGAACCTGAGATTGTACATTTATTCACACTATCTTACAATCTGTCTTAACCATTTGGATTACCTACAGATGGGTTCATTAGGCTATGGTTATAAGTGAAAATTGTGAGTTTGTGCCTATGACATGAAATTGATTTAGAATCTTCAAGTAACACATTTTGTTTTTAATTACAGTGGTGTCCACGCTAACTTGAACGCATTTCAACTAATCGAGTCCATTAAACACCTTATAAGCTTGATGTTTCAAGGTAAGCCACAAATACGATAGATAACCTTAAAATGGTTCGAACCTAAGAGATCAATAAAAAGAACAAACCTTCTTGACTGTCGAATCAATCTTAGAGTTCAAGTCACTATTCATTAACGGTTGCCCACCCAAAACAAAACAAAAAGAAAAAAAAATTATAATAAACAATTGTGTTAAGGTGAAAGAAGGCTTAAGAGTTAATTCTATTCTTGGTAAATCTCTAATTATTAAGAGCAATTCGATGTCTTTTCTTGTAAAGTCAACTATAGTATTGAAGCTATAATTTAGCATAATTCCTCCAGGTTGAGGCTTTAATTTGATTGGTACCCTAACAACCCACTAGCCATTGACTCATCACCGGTTAGCCGGCTGGCAGCTGATGCACCACCACCGCCATGGAATTCCATTTCCGGTGGGCCATGGCTAAGTTGGTGCACCACTAAATGAGTGGTTCTAGATTTAACCACACTGTGGCTTGAAATGTGAATTAAAGCCCACATTTTCAAGCTCATAATCTTGTAATTTGTTGCACATGGAAACCAACACAAAACTTTAAAGAAGCGTCCACTATTTTATTTTACTAATTCTTTTCATATTGTTTTATTACTCATAGGAGGCGTTTGGATCATATAATGTTTTATTATAGGGGATATTATATTAACGGAATAAAAAATCACTTTGAAGATTATTGGGAATTATTAGAAAATGTATTTGGTTGGTTCAAATAAATTGGTGAATAATATGTTTGGTTAAGAGGATAAATGGATGGGTGTGTTACATAGATTCCTAAATTGCCCTTCTTTTTAAATATTAATATAACAATATTTTTTGAATAATTTTTTTAACCCCATACTTTTCAGATTTAGCAAAAACACCCTGACAACAAAAAACGTTTTAAACTTAATAAAAACATCTCCATCCACCCCAAGCCATTGCCGGCAACTAGCCACCACGATTGACGGTTGCCAACAGTGCCAAAGATCTGGCCATGGCTATGAGCCATGGCCAGATCTTTGGTTGTGAAACGCCGACTGTTTCACGACCAAAGAGCTGGCCGTTTTCGATCATGGATTTGTGATCAATGGTCGGAAAAGACCTCACACGGCCGATCGTACACCATTATGATGACTTTTGGCAGCCTCCCCCCCCCCCCACCACACCCCCATGGTTATGAAAATTCACAGCAATACTGTTTGTCATTAAAAATTTACAGGAATAATTTTTTATAAACCAACCAAACATCATCATCTACTCAATTTAAAATATATTACCAAAGTTATCTAATATTAACCCCATCCAAATAGCCCCATAAGGTGATATATTTTATATTATCACATGCTTCACATGATGTGTTATTTATTTATTTGTAATTTACATTTATTGAAGTTCAAGACCCTACAGTTATTTTATTTTATTTTATTTTTTTTTGTGACCGAAGGTGTCCGAACTAGAGGTGGAACAAATGGGTCGAGTTCGACGGGTCAACCCTAACCCAGCCCGCATTAGAGAGGGTTCAACCCGGACCGCCTTATAGGCGGGCCAGGTTGAACCCAACTGCATGCAACCCTCGGGCGGGCCGGGTTGCTATATGGCAACCCGCCAACCCGACGGGTTGCTATTTGTTTACAATAGCCAACCCGTCGGGTTGGCCCCAAAAAAATAAAAAAAAATAAAAAATTAATTATTTTTTTCAAGTTTCTCCCATTTTTTTAATTTTTTTAATTAAACTATTATGATTGAACTCTTACAAATAATTTTACACAATAATATTAAACTATACTTCTAAATCATAAATATTAAAATGCATAAAACTTCGTAATATTTAACACATTATTATTATTATTTTTTATGGTACGTAAAATATAAAAAAATTAAATACTAAAGTCTTATTCTTAAATTTCCATGTCTTGTATAAAATGTAATTCATTCTTATGCTAAAGTTTCATCAATTAAATGAATGAATCTAATTTTTCTTATATTACAATTTTATTGTATTAAAATTGAATTAATATTTGAAATGTTAATAAAAAAATAATAATTTAATTGAATTATTGATATTTGAAAAGTTAACTAAAACAATTACATTTATTCATTTATAAATCGTTAATTATTTATTTGAAAAGTTAAGTAAATAAAACAAAAAATTAAAAAAGCGGGTTAACCTGGCCCGACCCGCAGCCTAACCCGGCGGGTTAGGATTGGCGGGCCGGGTTGTGCCAGCCATTCCCCCAAAAATGGCAGGCCTAACCCAGCCTGCCTTTGTTGGCGGGTGGGTTAGGACCAACCCGCCAAAAGTAGTAACCCGCCATGGGCCGGGCTGGGCGGGTTACTTTTCCAACTCTAATCCGGACCAATTTGCGTCCACCTTGACTAATCCTTCGAGGCTCTGAAGTTAATGACCAAGTAAACCCTCCAATGGCCACCCCTATTAGTAACCAAGGAGAATCGAACTCAAAACCTCTTGAGTAGTACACTCAGGGTCTACTTGGGAGTTTTATGGTAGCGGTATAAAGGTAAACCATCATAGCGGTTTTGAAGGGTTTTTAGTAGCAGTTTTTAAAACATCCAACCTGTGCTTGGGAGTTTATTTTCCAACGGTTCTAACAGTTTTTTTAAATGATAAATTTACATATATACCCATAAAAATAACCCTACTTAAACATTTAAATGAAAAGAAATACAAATCAATAAATTACAATATTGTCTTTCACTTTCTTCACACAAACACAACCAAACAAAGTTAAAACACTCTCTTTTGCTATATCTTCTGTTTTCTTTTGATTTAGAAATCTATGTGCATTAAATAATAATAGATCAACATTAGTCTCCTTCATCCCCATTGCTTTTAGAAAAAATTTGTTTTGTTGGATAATTATCATAATAGATCAACATTCAATGAAACAAAGTCTTGTCCACCGACGCAAACTGTTAAACCAGTAAACCAGTAAACAATTTTTGCTTGCAATTCTGAACTTAATCCAATTAAACATAGATTATGTTGCACAAAGAGGCTCTGTGACTTTTGTTTTAGCAGCAAAGGGATTATTGTAAAAAAGGGTTTTTTTGGGATAAAATTTTTAAACAAGTCAAAACACCCTGATTTAAGGTATTTTATAAACCTCTTAAAAATATACTACATTAATTTTGAGAGATTTTTAAACCAATCAAAAACCAACCCATTAAAAATCTGGTAAATAATAATTTTTAAACACTTTAAAACTAGTCTAATTAAAAACCTCTTAAAACCAATAAAAACAAAATTCCTAATCAGACCCAAGAGTCGCCACGGGAGGTGGTTGACCCTAAAGTTCCAGGTGTAAAATGTGAACATGGACCCTTTGACAAGTGTACAAAATTTTCAACAGTAAATCAATAATAGCAACAAATTAGCATCAAGAATTTTCAACCTTTCTGACATCATACGATGACATGAACAGATTCAGATGTCTACAAGACAAACTCTACCATCTCTCTGTGTCTGTATACAAGCCAAAATTATTGCCTGCTGAATTAGGAACCGCTGAAAAATGAGTGGCTCCAAAGGCTTTGCATTTTGCAAAAGTTAAGCATTAGTTGTACTTCGGGAGAGACCCTTATGGGAAAAGAACAAAAGTTGCTTATAAATTTGTATGCTAGGAATGATTCTGGTGATTTATAAAATGAAATGAATCCAAATTCATAGTAAAATTTTCGTCTCTTGGATTAAAGATTTCGGTAAAACAAAACTAGCGTAATTGTATATATACAAGCCCTATACCGGTGCATAGCAGTGTGGAAGATGGTACTAACAGAGGAAGAACTATCTAACCAAATCTAATCTTACTCTTTTTCATCCGGAAACCAGTGCTAGCTTATGAAGTGAAATTATTTGTTACAGCAAGGCACTCACCAAAGCCATCAACGAATCGACATCCCTCTTCTCTGAGGGATACTTGATGGGCTTGGATGAGTATTTAGGGAAAAATAAAATTGTGGGAAAGCTCCCCAGCTGTAACTCTTGCTTTGCAAATTCCTTCTGATCACCATCAGCCCTAAACTTCCCCACCTTCACTCCTGAACCATCAAGCTTTTCTGCTAATTCAACATATGATTCTTCCATTGCCTGTTTTAAACAATGGATAATAGTACTATAAATATTACAGAAATCGGTAAAATACTTCCAAATATGCGTGCTAGAATGATAATTAATTTTACCTGGCAAAAGCGGCACCAAGGTGCATAAAGCACAATAATCCAGGGCTCTTTTCGAATCTCTAATCTAGACAAGTTCTCTATCCCAGTTCTACTCAAATTAACCAACTTTGGACTGTTGAAGAGGTCAGTAACAGTGGCACTCCCATTTGTATGTTGTGCAACACCATTTCCATTGCCATTGAGTTGAGAAACCTCTACGTGTTTAATGTTCCCTTTGTGAAGACCACACTCTTTAGCCTTTGCATCTTCCCACCACCACCTTCCTTCCCTCTCATGTTGCCCCGGTAGTACAGGCCTTGTGCATGGTTCACAACCAATTGAGATGTATCCCTTTGGGTGCAAGGTATTAATAGGTACATTCATGGCATGGATGAAGTTCCATATGTCTCGGCCTTGCACATTAGCCAGAGGATTCCACTTGACCAAGCTGCCATTCCCACCATCCTTTCCTTCAAAGGAGGGATCTACCTAGACAACTGGAATCTCTGCTCTTGTGCCTGGCGACTGATCTTTTCTTTGCCCAGTTATCCATGCCCGTAGGCCCTTAAGAGCCCTCCTTAAGGGCCTGACCTTCCTGACTCTGCAGCATTCTTGATGCCCATCTTCGTAAAAGGAGAAAAGACCCTTAGTCCTCACTAGAGCTTGAACCTCAACAGCATCAGGGAACATGTACTCGATACGAATGCCATAGTGCTTCTCAACAGTGTCAAAGAAGTGGTAAGTTTCTGAGTTTAGCCTCCCAGTGTCCAGGCTGAATACCCTGAATGGCCGGCCAGTTAATTTGGCATACTCGATCAAGGCCACATCCTCAGCTCCACTGAAAAAATCAGACATAAGTCAATAAATAAATAAGACTTGCAATTAATCAAAAGAATATCACACTTGTGATCTATCAAATACTCCTATATTGACCTACTGAACCATACATAATCTCAACATAACCTCTTTATCCACAGCAATTTCTGTTCACTACTGAACCATTAAAAAGTCTAAGCAAAAAGAAGATTTAAAAAAATGATTTCTAAAATGGCATAGATTGGTAGTATTTCTATGTATTAGAAATCGAAAATGCCGTCTTTCTCATTGCTAATTCAACAATTTTCACCACTCCATCAGATTGGGATCATAGAAAGTTAATAACAGTGATTGCTGAAGAATATTTTATGACAAATACCTGAAAGCAATGGCAATTTCACTGCCAAATTTCTCAAGAGCCTTGTCCATAATTTCAAGTGGCGACCCATTTTCCAACTCCTTAGCCAATTTCTCATAGTCCAAACTCTCTATTTCATCTTCAACATCCGTTTATTTGACATAAACATAGTACAAAACAGTGATCATTATTTATTTCATAACCATATCAAAATTAAAGCACCATTACTGATGGAGGCCCCAGTAACTGTATCTGCAGCAACCACACCAGCTGCAAGAGGAACCCCTAGGTCGCTCCTTAGTTCTGCACAAATTGGTTTTACAAAGCATTGTTTTCCAAAAGAAATTCCAGCATTTGATGGAACCAAGGATTGATTCAATTGACGAACAGAACCGATCCATGGAGCTGTAAACCAAAAAGAAAAACGGAAAATAAAGCACGAGAGTTAATTGAAACAATCACAAACCCAGAAAACAAGTTCAAACATTGCATTGATTACAGAGTTTAACTCTACCCATCACCAATTTCAATCAAATAAAATTAATTTAACTATAATTCTGCTCTATTTTATCCAACCCCATTTAGGGTTGAATTTAAGAACATTAAATTTGCTTTAAAAAAACAGTTGTCGGCTGATGTCTTAAGCTTCAAGTTATGATTTTTCTTATTGTTTTGAATATAAGAATTGAAGTTTAAGAAGAAGAAAAACAAATGGCAACTTGTAAAATAGTCAACAGAAGTGATTAAAAATTCTACCTTTAAGATCACGTGGAGAAACTGCATGAGAAGAAATGGAGCATCTAAGCAAAGAAGATGAAGGAAAGAGGGCCATGAGATTCAGATTGAGATTGTGATGGTGATGGTGATGGTGAGATCAAACGGATGTAAATTTCTGGGACTCTCAGAAGCTATTGAGATAGTGCTATGTTTTACTAAACGAAGAAAAACGACAGAAATAACAGTGTCCCGCGAAAATTACGAGCTTCAGGTTCATTGAATGTGGACATCTTTGTGTTTGGTTTTGCCATCTAGTTTTAGAGTAAATATTTTCCCACCCAAGGTTTGCCTCAATAACCCTTCTCATCCAAAAGGTTTCAAAATACCATTTTTCTACCCAAAGTTTATATTCTGTTACTATCCAAAGCCGATTCCAACTGATTCTGATGGCAAAAATTCTCTTCGCCATCACTATTTGAACCTCCGGTCTCCTCTATACAAAACTCATCTCACTTTAGTACCTGATTTCTCACCAATTGTCGGTCATCATAAAACTAGGGTTTCTTATTCTTACCTAATTTTTAATTGATTCTAACGGCGAATATTCAATCAGTTACTACCATTCAATCCACCAACGTCCACTCTACAAAACCTCTCTCACTTAAGCTCCTGGTAACTCGTTGCACGTTAACTGAAAAAGTAAAGTGTATTTTAAGTAAACTTTGAGTGGGAAAGTAGTATTTTGAAACTTTTTGAATGAGAAAGTGTCGTTAAGGCACGTTACTCTCTAGTTTTACTCTCCGGTCTCCACAAGGCAATTTCTTATTTTTGGTCAATTTAATTAATATATAATCACACAAAAATATTTTTTTTACTTGATATGATAATTTGGATTATTACAAACCCCATTCATATTATCAACAATTCCTACACTATCAAAAGCCCCCTTACATTATTCAAAAATACCTCTTGGCATTATCAAAATCCACCTTAACATTAACAAACACCCCTAAACAATAGTAAGTTAGCAAAAGATTCACAAAAAAAATGGAAGTTTGTTGATAAACATGTTTCTTGAGGCCTGAGGATGTAATTTTATTTATTTATTTATTTATTTCCAAATTTCATAATAGGTTAATAATTGGACTATAGGAGAAGGCGCCTTCTTCCACTGGATCTTCTTACTAGATTCTCCCATGAAGGTGACAAAACTGCTTCTTGATTTTATAATCTTGAGAAACTTCCTGGTCTCGGATTATCTCAAGACTCAGGCCCCATTATATTTAAGCTTTTGTTCTTTCTTTTTCCATCAATAAAATGTTTTTACATTATTATAAAATAATCACCGTACCATTACTGATCCCATAACATTATGGATCACATTTGACATTTCTGACTACCCCACAGAAAACAAAGTTTTACTTTTGCCTGATCACTTTACTTCGAGTAGTTCCTTTAACAACTTCTTGAAGCTATACTCACAGCATCCTCTGTGAGGTATGATTTGTAATTTAGAACAGAGAACTAGAACTTTAAACGGGTGCAAAAGCTTCAGAATCTCAGAGTCTCGATCATAATCCTGTGACAAAGATTGTATTGATAAAGCCGAAGAAGGTGTTCACAAAGTAGTCGTCTTATGATATAGAGAATTCAAAAGAAAACTTTCACATACACTTACCTTTTCTGTCACAACAACGATTGGCTTGGAATTAAACTTGGCCTCAAGTTCTCCAAGCTTCTTCCTGATCATCTCAATGTCCTATATAGATAAATAAAAAGAAGTTACAAAGTTGATATATTTGACGCAATTGCGAGACTGAGGTATCTAGTGCTAGATGAGGCAAACTAATATCAAATTGTTTTTTGTACTTGAAAGTTGAATGGTGTGTGAAATTAAGGTGTGATTAAACCACATCGTGTCAAATAATACTTGTCTATGCATACAAAAAAGATGCAATTCAATGCAGAAGATAAAAACAATCATACCTTGGCTTGAAATAAGTGATGGTCACTAAAATCGAGTCGGTCAACATGACACGCACCTAACTGCATCAAGTTAAGTTAGTTAACCACATGGAAAAAAGTCGAGAAGTAGATGATACCCATCCAAACATCTACTTTATATGAAATAAATTTGAATCAAAGTATATCAACCATGGCCCAAAGATCAAAAATAACAATTCTTTAAACAATGTCCATAAACAGTGGAAAAGAATCATTGTAATAATACCTTCTCAAGCCCCTGTGCAAAAGCGTCAGCAGATCCAATTGCAGAAACACATAATAGAACAGCATTACACACTGTTCTCAGAGGTACTTCAGAGTTGACATTTCCCACTTCAAAGAAGCAAGAGGGAGCCATTCTTGTGAAGAAAACTGGAAGAGAATTCTTAATTTCTCGAATCTCTGACTCAATATCCTTGAGATTTTGTTCAGATACCTGCATGAGAGAAGCATAAACTCATTGTTTGTTTATTCACCTTTTCTAAAACCTGTTAACACACAACATGCAGAACATATTAAAAATAGAAGACAAGCCTAATTACAATGATTACATGCTATATAGCACTAATACATGATATTTGTCGAATCACTTGAAATTATGTAAAATGGTAGAACTGAGAGATCAATTTTGCATTACCAAGTCTGCATGATGAACCACAGCAACATCAGCTCGTCTGAGTGCCATCAAAGGTTCTCTTAAAGGGCCAAGAGGTAGTAATTGACGGTTTCCCCATCGCATTAACCCATTAACCATTACAATTTCCAGATCACGCGACAAGCTCCAGTGCTATCTTCATATTAAAAGATAAAACAGCAATTAAAAAGACCATTCAGAATTGACTAAAGGAAAGAGTAATGGTAAATGTTTTGCAATTGAGGGTCTCATGCATTCTCTGAATAATGTCATCAAGAAACTTCATTTAAATACCTTATAAAGACTGCATCATAGTTATCGATCAGCTACAAACATAGAGGAAACAATTACCTGCATTCCATCATCTAGAATTACAGCACCAATTTGTTCTGATTTGAGATGACCCCTCACTTTCTCATCAATGCTAATTCTCTCAGAGAATTTGCAACTACGAGGATCAACGTAACCATATTTTTCAAAGAAAGAAGCAGCTGTAGCTGCCCGATTTGCACCTACACCAATCTTAACAGGTCTCCCAAGAAGATGCCTTTGAAGCATTCTAGCTTCATCCCCACCAGCATAACCCTGCAAGATAGCGGTATCCATTTCTCAAATAATCTGACAGTATCACAAATCCAGGTTCCACTACTTGGAACACTATTTCTGCTCTATCTTTAAAACAAGTGGGCAAGGCGAATTTTAACGATTACTGCAAAATAGGTGCCACTTCGGTTCCATGAAAAAATTAAAAGCAAGGTAATGTAGCTACTTCTTTCTCAAACCTATTATAGCAAAAACATTTCAAGGAAACAAATACAAGAAAGAGAGAGTACCCTGGTAAGAATGAGAGGTGAAATCCCAGAATCGGCGAGAGAGTGAGCAATGAACTCAACCATTGGTGTCTTCCCATTGCCGCCCCATGTCAAGTTCCCAACACTAATCACTGGTACTGCCAATCTTTCATATCAACAAACATAATTAAACAACGCCATTAATTTACTTATAACAACAAAAAGTAGCAAAATTAAATAACATTAAGCCCCTCTAAACTACGGTCAATACAACTAATCTCAGCTTAACACACCCAGTTACATACTACATTGATCAACATTAATTTTCAAGAAGTATAATCCAATATTCAAAAAAGAAGAAGGAGAAGAAGAAGATTCTTGCTTTCATTTTCAAAAATGAGAAACCGTATTAAAATTCTTTATGTTCTTCGAGAAGAGAGAGAGAGAGAGAGAGAGAGATTGAGAAAGAACCTGTGCTTGGAGAAAAAGCCGAAGTGGTAGAGAGAGCGACGGAGAGAGAGGGTGAAGCAGTAGACGGAGGAAGCGAAGGAGAGCAGAGGAATAATAGATGATTGGAGAGGACTGAGCTTAGCGTGGTCTTGAGCGTAGGTGATTTCGTTCACCAGTCTTCTTAGTTTCTCCATTGGAAGTGGAAAGTGACTGATTCCAATGGAGAAGAATGAGAGGGAAAGAGAAAAATGGAAGCAATGGGCCGGGCCAGGCCCTTGTGTAGATGGGCCGTCAGTTATGATCTTGGAGGGCCCAATACATGAAAGTTAAACTCATTGGGTTTTCAACGTGTCAATTATACCTTGATCTTAAAAAATTAACATTACCTATCACATAATTTTATTTTTAATTTTTATATTGTCGCATTAACAATCACATCGTACGACCACAACTAATCCCTAGAATGTTGAACACCGAGTAATGTTAAGCTCATAATCCAATCTTATAAACTTCTTTTACAATCCCAAACATGACAGTTGAGTTGACACTGTCATGTCAACTCCACCACACCCAAAATACGAAATGATTTTGACTAGACTTAAGGAACGTTACGATTATTCCTTCATAGAGAACAATATTCCTTATGAAGGAATAGTCATTCATTCCTTATAAAATTAACATTAACATTACCTATCACATAATTTTATTTTAATTTTTATATTGTCGTATTAACAATCACATCGTACGACCACAACTAATCCCCAGAGTATTGATCACCGAATAATGTTACACTCATAACCTAATCTCATAAACTTCTCTTATAACCCCAAACATGACAGTTGAGTTGACACTGTCACGTCAACTCCACCACACCCAAAGCACGAAATGATTTTGACTATACTTAAGGAACATTACGGTTATTCCTTCATAGAGAACAACGTTCCTTATGAAGGAATGGTCATTCGTTCCTTATAAAATTAACATTAACATTACCTATCACATAATTTTATTTTTAATTTTTATATTGTCGTATTAACAATCACATCGTACGACCACAACTAATCCCCAGAGTGTTGATCAGCGAGTAATGTTACACTCATAACCCAATCTCATAAACTTTTCTTACAACCTCAAACATAACAGTTGAGTTGACACTGTTACGTCAGCTCCACCACACCCAAAGCACGAAATGATTTTGACTATAATTAAGGAACATTACGATTATTCCTTCATAGAGAACAACGTTCCTTATGAAGGAATGGTCATTCGTTCCTTATAAAATTAACATTAACATTACAAAATTAACATTACCTATCACATAATTTTATCTTTAATTTTTATATTGTCTTATTAACAATCACATCGTACGACCACAACTAATCCCCAAAGTGTTGATCAGCGAGTAATGTTACACTCATAACCCAATCTCATAAACTTCTCTTAGAACCTCAAACATAACAGTTGAATTGACACTGTTACGTCAGCTCCACCACACCCAAAGCACGAAATGATTTTGACTATACTTAAGGAACATTACGATTATTCCTTCATAGAGAACAACGTTCCTTATGAAGGAATGGTCATTCGTTCCTTATAAAATTAACATTAACATTACCTATCACATAATTTTATTTTTAATTTTTATATTGTCGTATTAACAATCACATCGTACAACCACATCTAACCCCCAGAGTGTTGATCAGCGAGTAATGTTACACTCATAACCCAATCTTATAAACTTCTCTTACAACCTCAAACATGATAGTTGAGTTGGCACTGTCACGTCAGCTCCACCACACCCAAAGCACGAAATGATTTTGACTAGACTTAAGGAATGTTACGGTTATTCCTTTATAGAGAACAACGTTCCTTATGAAGGAATGATCATTCGTTCCTTATAAAGGAACAATCATTTCTTCAAAAGGAACGATCGTTTCTTATGAAGTAATAACTGTTCCTTATTTCCTTATGAATGAACGATTGTTTCTTATAAAGTAACGATCGTTCCTTATGAATGAATGATCATTCGTATTTAGTTTAAGTCATTTAGTATTTTGGGTGTGGTAGAAATTGACGTGACAATATCAACTTTGTTGTTACATTAGGATTGTAAGAGAAAATTATGAGATTAAGTTGTAAACGTAGCATTTTTTGTTAAATAGCCTACAAACCTCTCGACTAAACTTAATGGGCTAGTCTCTGGATAACTTAAAGTCTTATCATCCGATCACAGTCAAGTGGTTAATAATCCCAAATATTAATCTCTACTTATGGCCTGTTTCTTTACAAATTACAAGAACTCGAATGAACAAAATATGGTATTAATTAATTACTAAAATTTAGGCAATTGAAAATAGTAATTAGTTAAAATTAGAAGGTGGTTTTTGTTTTATTAAATTAAGAGTCCGAACCAACTGACCCGGTGAGCATCTCTAGCAGTGTTGATGCAGACAGATGCAAATAGACAATTGAAGAGAATCATTATACAATTGATTATCTCTCTCTCTCTCTCTCTCTCTCTCTTTCTTTTTCCTCCATAATTGACAGACACTGAGCTACTCTACTGTACTACCCATCAAGCTTCATATAATTTTTATTGGACATCTGGACTTTGTTATGAAATTTAATATGAATATAGGAATTGCATTGGTCAAATGGTAAACAATTAGATTTGTCTTATGGTTGAGCTGAACAGTGACATTACCAACAACATACCTTTTCCAAAACTAAAAAGAAAAAGCCTTTCCCCAACTACTTACATGACCAAAGGTTATTGTTTTCCCGTTTTTCCGAAAATTATAGGATGGGATTCAATATAATCTCGGATTTCAAACTTGTACTCGCCTTTAATTACTTAAAAACACTTGTTTCTCACTTTCCAAAGATTATAGAGTAGGGTTCGACAAATGCTCTCGTTTTGAATTCAATCTCATCTTGATTATTTAAAACAATGACAATCCGATAAGACGACATATAGTATACACTATTGGATTGTTATATAATTATATTTTATATGACGTTATTTTGAAATGCTAAGTTGTAATATTTTACTTATACATATACTATTCTATTTCCAAGTATATGTTGGTAAACAAATTTCAACAACCTTTTTTTTTTTTGGTTTAAGAGATATCCTACACTATTCTAGTAATAATAACATCCATAAATTTATCAGAACAATATATTTTTGTATAACACGTTCTATATGACATTATAGATTTTAGATCAATGTCTTCCTTTAATTTTTAATGCATTATTTAGTTTGTTACAGGTATATCTTTCAATATCAAAGTATTGAGAGAAATATTTTGTGCAAGACACTTTCATTGTTCAATGACAGAATAGTATGTGTCATAAAATATATGTCAAGTGGGTTTTGTTACAGTATAACATTACATCTATACATTAACGTAAAATTTGTAAACGAAACTCATAAACCACAATCGTAATACTTGTAAAATGCACTAGTACACTTATAATCAGTGTTCTGAAACCTGGCTCGGTCCAACCAGTTCAACCGATCAAATTGGGACCCTGGGCCTTCTTTTGACCAAATTACCCCTGTCAATTGTTTAAAAATCCTTAACTTGATCGTTGGCCACTTCTGGCCACTTTTTGGCGCCCCTTGCCCCCTCCCACTCATCCCCACCCTCACTTTATCACTACCCACCTCTATATTAAACAGATTAATATTTAATTTTTTAAAAATTAAATTATTGCTGACGTCACAAGTCCAACAAGTTGGATCGGTTGACTCGCGACTCGGGTAGCAAAACAGGTTGCCCTCCGGTCCGAGTTTTAAAACAATGCTACCCACCCCTTGGTGGGCTACATCCCTCACTCTAGCGCACGGCAAACCCCATTTCCAGATGCGATGCCTTTTGCGTGAAACAAAATTGCTAAATTTTCTATTTCATCTAACTTCCTTTACAATTAATGAAAAAAGTTATCTTTATTTTAGTGTAGAATTTTATTTTATCAATCAAATAAAACGATGAAACTATTTCAGTTAAGATATTTTTAAATTTTAATATAAATTTATGTACGTAGAATATGGAATATGGGAATAGTAACATTAAACATTAAAAACACATTATCAAACATAAATATAAAACATCTTAATCTATAGTCAAAACCAAACTATTTATAGTTTAAACCCTTTCTTTAAGCTACTCATTAAAATGTGAAATCAAGTTTAAAAGCCATTGAAATTACTATAAAAAGGTACACACACGCTTTCTTTCATAAACCTAAGGCCAACGAATCACGTCTTCAAATTGGTTACAGCTTCCCGTCCCCATCAAATCACTGGAATCCAACGGACACGATTTATTCCACACACTTGTCTCATCTTCAAACACGTTTATGCTTACTGTTGATTTTGATCCAGCCAACATAATTTCCTTCACCAACTTCTGGGCCCACCCGATTTGGAAAAGAAAAAAAAACCACCCCATTCTTGGGGGCCCACTCCCCTCACCTTTCTTCTCAGCTCCACGTCTTCGTGGGTCCCAACAGGAGCTGAATTTCAGGAATTTACACTTGTTGATTTTTCAGCTGCTTCCTTCTCTTAAATAAGGGATTAAACTTGAAGATTGAATGGAGGACATTTCTGGAATTAGAGTTCTGTCACGGTGTGATTTGTTTAAAAAAAATCACTGCGGTTCTGTTGAAATAAATATCATCATGAGCGTTAATTACATGATGATTTTGATATTGACGGCCATGATTGATACGATATGATTTGAATAGGCGCACCGAAAAGTAAAAATAAAAAGATAAAAGGTTTTTTGTGCACAATAACAAAAGGGCCAAAAAGTTAATCTAAATTACTAATGAACCCTCTACCGCAGCCGCTAAGAAAGCTATTCTTAGTGGGTAGTTTAGTCAAAGGATCCGTTTGGACTATAGAGCTTGGACATTAAGTCATGGCGGTCTCTTTCAAACTTTGTTGAAAATTTGAAAATCCTTTTTTCACTCGCTTTGAGGAGCGTGGGTGACCTTTTCCGTTTCCAATATATCTCTCCGTTAATGAAACTAATTTAATTTTAATAATTACTTAAGTGAATGTGATTATTAATATTTTGATATATGTATTATAGTTCATTAATAACCTCAAATTAAATTACCCATTATGAAAAGGTTATTAACTTGGAAGATTAATTATAATTAGTTAAGTTAAATGATGTGCCATAGTTTAATTAATAACATTTATAATTTTTTCTTAATATTTTATAATTATGAATTATAGTGGATTTTTTTTTAATTAGTATGCTAAAAGATAAATATACATGGTTAATAATACATTGTTAGTGGTCAATTTTAGAATCTAGCGAGCAAGTTGGACACGCGCGAAGTTATGACTTGGGACGTGCTCTTTCTCGCGTATAAAAAGAAAGGAAAAATGGAGAGATGACGTGACACAGCGGGCAGCAGGCAAAGTGACACGAAAACCCTACACGGGCAGCGGGCAGCACAAAACGCCGTCATTCCAAGCCACTAACGCCGTTGTTACAACACACCAGGACACAAAAAAATCAATCATTTTATGACCCCCGAACCTCAGCTCCGTGTCTCACAGCCAGCCTCGGACTGACGTACGGATCTCACAAAGCCCTCCCACACTCGAAAAAGCCAAGCCAGAAGCAACACCAAAAAGGAGAGAGAGAGAGAAGAGGGACTGAGAGTTTAAGAGAGAGAAAGAGAGTGGAGTGAGTTTCCTTAGAGAGAGAAAGAAAGATGGGCCAGATCGTGAAGAGGAAGAAGAAAGGGAGGCCATCGAAGGCAGATCTGGCGAGGCGACCGCTTTCTCCGTCACCGGCGCCGGAATCAGAGATCCGGCGGAGCATAAGGCGGAGAAATGTGCGGTACGACATAGACTACTACGAGGATTACTTTGACGAAGAGGACGAGGACGAGGAAGAAGAGAGGAGGAGAGAGAAGAAGCTTAAGCTGGTATTGAAACTGAACCAGGGGAGCGAGTCAGCTGAGCCGGCTCGGAGCCGGTCTCGCTCGTCGGCGCGTGAAGGACACGCGTCGGACGAGGAGGAAGAAGAAGAGGAAGAGGAAGAGGATAAGCCTTTGAAGAAGAGAAAAATCAATGGTGGTGATGTTAGTGAAAGTGAAGAAGATGATAATAATAATTATGATGAAGAGGTAAAAACAGCATTTACGTTAATGTATGAAATCCAGGTCAGCTGAAATCTTGGAGATTTTTCAAGATTTTTGTGATTGTGTCGTGCTCTTGAGGCTTTCACTCCTATTAATAATAATACTTGTGTGAGAGTTTTGAGAGAGATAAATAACGGTCGGGTCAACTGTCAAAAACTAACAACAACAGAATCTGATCACACTCCTCTCTCTCTACTTTCTCTTTCTCTCTCTATCCAACTCTATTTGTCTATCTACAACTATATCTATATATTTCTTTTACGCACAAACCTTCTGTCTCTCTCTTTGCTTGTGTGTTGTACTTACGTACTGTCTGCTTTAACTGTCACTGTCTCTCTGTCTCTGTCTTTGTCTTTCATTTGCACACGCAGTCATGTAATATTTATTTGTGTTGGTCGGTTCTTAACAGGCGAGGGGGAGAAAACTGCTGGCAAAAGGGCAGGACTCGGCTCCAGGTTTGTGAGGTTTTGGTTGATTTTGAGATATTATGTTTTAATTTGATGTGGGTTTGTCTGAATTTGGGCTTTTTGTTTGATTAGGGACGCCGGTGAATCAATCAGTCGAGATTCCGTTGCCTGACAAGAAGTCATTGGAGTTGATTCTGGACAAATTGCAGAAGTGGGTGATTCATTGTTAATCTTCTATCTCTATTTATCTAGTGGTGTTGATGTTGCGTTGCTTATGGTTGCTATGTGTGAACTTGTGGCAGGAAGGATACATATGGTGTGTATGCAGAGCCAGTTGATCCTGAGGAGGTGTGTGGAATTTGTTTTTTGAAATGTTGGTTTGTTTTTGGAAGGCTTCGTTTGTGTACAAGATTGAGGTATTGATTGTTTTTGTAGCTTCCGGATTATCATGAGGTGATAGAGCATCCAATGGACTTTGCCACGGTGAGGAAGAAGCTGGGAAATGGATCATATTCTACCTTGGATCAATTTGAGGTTGGTATTTATGTTTCATTATTTTTTTTATTCATGGAGCTGTTCTTTGCTTGGGATATGGGGCTTCTCACTGAGTCTGTTCTGGATTGCGTTACTTATCGCCTGAGTGGGTGAGTTTAAGAGCGCTGTGACAGTCTTTGTTGCGTTTTGGCTCAATTAACGATGGCTTTGGTGGGGACTTTCTTGGTTTCTCTTAAATTTCTTTCCACCCGGTGCTTCTGCTTATGCAACCAATGAATTAGAGTGACCTGTTATAACTCACTGTAAAGATGCCCACTGAGCCAGAAAAGTCAATTTGGTGTAGTTCTGGTAATTTACAATATTTGGGTTGTTGAACTCTTGGAGCTCATTCTTTGCTTTTGTTGCGCTGGCAATAGTTAATTATGGTGCTTGTGCTTCAACATGAAGGTTGATCTTGTTGAGGAGCATCCCATCCCCTGATTCAAGAGAATGGCAGAAATGGGAAGAAGGATAGACTTTTTGTTTAGTTAGTGAACTAGCAATTATGTTTAGGAAAAGTGGAAAAAAAAGAAGAAATAGCAATTATACAAGGCCGCCTTCATTTCCAGTATAAGTTAAAGTTAAATCTATTAGGTCCCTGGTCAGAATGGAGATTAGTTCGTCTATACTATGATTTGATGTTGTATTTGTTTCAGTTAGTGTTATATGCCGGTCTGAGGAAATATACTTCTTTTGTTTTAAAAAGTAGGACGTTGTTGATGAAGTGCCATGTTTATAGACTTTTGATCCTTGATGGTTACATTTAATTGAGTGAGACAGCTGATCTTTTTTTCTCATATGATTGGTTTTCATTGGTCATTGAGTTCAATTGAATTGAAATGAAGATATCTTAGCTAATAGGGGTGCCAACACTGATGTCGACATGCATCCTAGCCTTTTGGGTTTATTTCACTTGGACTTTTTCATGTTATATTCATGATTGTTGCCTCTTCCTCTTACATTATGATTGTAAAGTTTTGTACCTTTGCCTATCACGTGCTTGTGGATGTTTGAGTCTGTAAATGAGAATTTCCTCTGTTACTCTGTTTATTCATCTGTTTAAATGGGAGAGATAAATGCTTACTGTTGAAAACTTGGTGTTGAAAAGAAAATGTTCATATCAAGTGGACATCTAGAAAATGTGCTGCATGTCGATTGTTGATAGAGGTGCCGTTGCAAGTTCCCTGGCTTCCTTTTCTCGTAGTTGAACATTATGAAACATATCTGGATACGGCTTACTGATTGGTTGCACAATCCTTCTCTTGCTACTAATTCTGAATCATTTCATCTTCTTGTCTAACAATAGCAATGCCTGCTTGCCATCTTATTAATGCAAAAGTTAATTTGGTGATCATTTCTTGGCTACATATACTGAGTAGAAATTATGCTCAAATTCCAATTGGATCTTGACCTTCAGACTGTTTATTGTAGTTTTACCTTTTAAGATTGATCTATAAATATGAGAAAGGCAGTGCGGGTGCAGAAGGTTGGAGAAACCAGTGCTTAAGTTGGCGAATTACTTCATCAACTAGATGTTTGCATACTACAAACGGCAAGCTTTAACATTATTGACTCTGGAAATTGATAATTCCATTCATTTACCATGTGTGGTTTTATTTATCTCATGTGCCATTTCTTAGTTAGATATGCCTTTCTCTTATGCTTCTTATTTATGTTTTGGGTTGTAAAGCTTGTTTTCCTTAATGCAGAGTGATGTATTTCTAATATGCTCAAATGCAATGCAATACAATGCACCAGACACTGTATATCATAGACAGGTATAATGCTTTCTTCTGTTTCTTCAGTTCTTGTACTCATTTGGTGAATAATCTGACTGTCCAATTATTTTGCAAAGGCACGTACCATTCAAGAGCTGGCGAGGAAAAAATTCCATAGGTTAAGGGTTGGTATTGAACGCTTTGAGAAAGAGCTCAAGCCAGAGAAAGAGCTCAAGTTGGAGAAGGAGCTCAAATTAGAGAAAGAAGTTAGGTCTGAACAACGGCCAAAATCTAACTTTTTGGCAAAGAAGCAAACAAAGAAACCGTTCAGCCGGACCTTGCAGGAACCTGTTGGATCTGACTTCTCCTCAGGTGCCACTCTTGCCACCACCGGAGATATCCAGAATGGTAATATTGCATTCCAAACTGGTGGTTGTGAGAGGCCTAGCAATACTGATGGGCTTGTAGAGGGTAATTCTTCCCTGGTTGATAATAATTCAGAGAGGGTGGAAGAACTATCATCAGGTATGATAATTGAAGAAATTCTGTTGTGGTATATTATTGTTTGGAATTGCAGAGATTGATATTTTTACTTAGGTAAGGGGGAAATCACTGTCACACGCCTAGAACTAGGTACTAAAGTTGTTTTTTAAGTTTTTGAAGCCAAAGCATTGTTGTGTCTGATGTTGTTATTTATCTTAGGTCAGAATGGTACCGTGTAGGGTGTTCTAAGTTCTAACATCTGATAGCTCTAGACCCCTACTAACTGCTTCATGTTTCAGGGAAGGGTCTCCTATCTAAATTGGGGAGGAAGACATCTGTGGTTGATGAGAACCGTCGTGCAACTTATAACTTATCCAATCAGCCCTTGGTCAGATCAGATTCAATATTTACAACCTTTGAGGGTGAAATCAAGCAGCTAGTTGCCGTATGTAACAGAAAATTTCTCTTTTTCTTCAATACTCTTATTGACTGTACTCTACAATCAATTTATTTTTGTTTTCTTGAATCAGGTTGGCCTCCATGCAGAATATTCCTATGCCAGGAGCTTGGCCCGTTTTGCTGCTGCTCTTGGTCCTGTTGCTTGGAAAGTTGCCTCTCAGAGGATTGAGCAAGCACTACCTCCGGGATATAAGTTTGGTCGTGGATGGGTTGGAGAATATGAGCCACTTCCAACCCCAGTATTAATGATTGAGAACCGTGCACAGAAAGAATCTTCCCCGTTTACAAAATGCCAATCTACAGCTGATCTGCAAAAAGATGATATGGCTTTTAAGACCCCTGTTCCTACTAAGGTGCACCCTGTTAGTCGGCCTATTTCAGAAGGGAATTCATCTTTGTTTCGTCCTCCAAATGGGTCAACCTCAGAAGGAAAGCCCCCATTCTTTGCTTCTCCCAAAGCAAAACTGAGTACCCCTGCTAGTGTTGTTCATCAGCAACAAAATCCATTTTCTAGGACTTTAGCTGAGCCTGAGAATAAGGTCTCAAAGCAAGTTGAATTGAATTTGCCACCTTCAGCAAGCCAGAATAATAGTGATCTTGTTGCTGCAAAACAGTTTTCAAATAAATTAGAAACGGTAGCCTCTAGGCCAAATGAGATGGTGGCAAGGAACATGAATCTGATGCAGCCTTTACCTCCAAAGCAGCTAACTAGTAATGGAGTTGGTAGTGGAGGATTGCCTAATGGAAAAGTGACAAGCAATTCTGGGAATACTAGAGTGCTTAGTCCATCTTCTGATAATGTTCAGATGGCCAGGGCAGCTTCATACTTTCCCCATGGACAGGAGCAAAGCGTCAATGATCCGGTTCAGTTGATGAAAATCTTAAATGAGAAGGCTCAAAAGCAGCAGAATTCTTCAAATCAGCCCCCATCTAATATTCCACCAGTAATGCCTTCAGTTCCATCTGTAAGAAGAGATGATTCAAACAATGCTGCAGCTGCAGCTGCCCGTGCATGGATGTCCATAGGAGCTGGAGGGTTTAGACCCCCAACTGAAAATTCTAGTTCACCCAGAAATCAGATTTCAGCGGAGTCATTATACAACCCAACTCGTGAATTCCATACTCAAATTTCTAGAGTTCGAGGGGAATTTCCTCATTCTGTCACTATGCAGTTTCAGTCAGAGAAGAACAGTTTTCCACCCCAGGCATTTGTACCACAAACTGTTCGTGCAGTAAATGAAGCTCAGTTCCAAAATAGACCCATGGTTTTCCCTCAATTAGTAACTCATGATCTATCTAGGTTCCAGGTTCAGACCCCTTGGCGAGGCCTCAGTCCACATTCCCAACCAAGACAGAAACAGGAAGCACTTCCTCCTGACTTGAATATTGGTTTCCACTCTCCAGGATCTCCAGCAAAACAGTCTTCCGGTGTTCTCGTTGACTCACAGCAGCCAGACCTGGCTTTGCAGCTCTGAGTATGCGTTGGCTTTTCATCAATCGGAGAATCAGGGGAAGACTCAGAAGGTAATCTTAGCAGCAACGTAAACTTGCAAGAACAAAATTTCTTATGATATGGCATAGAAATGGATATGCCTATCTCAGAACTCAGACTTAAAAAGTTTTAGTTGCAGAAGTGGATGAAATAAGTTGGGGATGTCGGATTGCTTCCTCGACTTGAGCCATATTTAGAAGTTGCAGAATATGGAATCATTCTAGGTGGAACTTAAGAGAGGGATAATTTTGAATAGAGCTTCTTTTTTTCTCTCATCTTTTCCTAACAAGAATTATTACTGACTTGGAAAAATGGAATGGCGCTACTTTTATCTGAATATTCACAGGGAGCTAAGCGAAATGGGTTGGAAGAGTTGAGCCAGAGCAGATATTGCTGCAATGGTTGTTGCCCAATTGATTAGAAGTTGTTGATCTTGATTAGATGAAATTAAATGTAAAACCTAGTTGATGCCTTGTAAATAAGATTACAGGTGTACTAGAGTTATTATTTGGTTAGATTGTAGTTTGTATTTTATGCCCTTCCCCTAAATTGCATTGATGATTCCACTTCACTNACTAGTAATGGAGTTGGTAGTGGAGGATTGCCTAATGGAAAAGTGACAAGCAATTCTGGGAATACTAGAGTGCTTAGTCCATCTTCTGATAATGTTCAGATGGCCAGGGCAGCTTCATACTTTCCCCATGGACAGGAGCAAAGCGTCAATGATCCGGTTCAGTTGATGAAAATCTTAAATGAGAAGGCTCAAAAGCAGCAGAATTCTTCAAATCAGCCCCCATCTAATATTCCACCAGTAATGCCTTCAGTTCCATCTGTAAGAAGAGATGATTCAAACAATGCTGCAGCTGCAGCTGCCCGTGCATGGATGTCCATAGGAGCTGGAGGGTTTAGACCCCCAACTGAAAATTCTAGTTCACCCAGAAATCAGATTTCAGCGGAGTCATTATACAACCCAACTCGTGAATTCCATACTCAAATTTCTAGAGTTCGAGGGGAATTTCCTCATTCTGTCACTATGCAGTTTCAGTCAGAGAAGAACAGTTTTCCACCCCAGGCATTTGTACCACAAACTGTTCGTGCAGTAAATGAAGCTCAGTTCCAAAATAGACCCATGGTTTTCCCTCAATTAGTAACTCATGATCTATCTAGGTTCCAGGTTCAGACCCCTTGGCGAGGCCTCAGTCCACATTCCCAACCAAGACAGAAACAGGAAGCACTTCCTCCTGACTTGAATATTGGTTTCCACTCTCCAGGATCTCCAGCAAAACAGTCTTCCGGTGTTCTCGTTGACTCACAGCAGCCAGACCTGGCTTTGCAGCTCTGAGTATGCGTTGGCTTTTCATCAATCGGAGAATCAGGGGAAGACTCAGAAGGTAATCTTAGCAGCAACGTAAACTTGCAAGAACAAAATTTCTTATGATATGGCATAGAAATGGATATGCCTATCTCAGAACTCAGACTTAAAAAGTTTTAGTTGCAGAAGTGGATGAAATAAGTTGGGGATGTCGGATTGCTTCCTCGACTTGAGCCATATTTAGAAGTTGCAGAATATGGAATCATTCTAGGTGGAACTTAAGAGAGGGATAATTTTGAATAGAGCTTCTTTTTTTCTCTCATCTTTTCCTAACAAGAATTATTACTGACTTGGAAAAATGGAATGGCGCTACTTTTATCTGAATATTCACAGGGAGCTAAGCGAAATGGGTTGGAAGAGTTGAGCCAGAGCAGATATTGCTGCAATGGTTGTTGCCCAATTGATTAGAAGTTGTTGATCTTGATTAGATGAAATTAAATGTAAAACCTAGTTGATGCCTTGTAAATAAGATTACAGGTGTACTAGAGTTATTATTTGGTTAGATTGTAGTTTGTATTTTATGCCCTTCCACTAAATTGCATTGATGATTCCACTTCGCTTATGCTGCTTGCTCAATCTGATCCAATGAATAGGTCTAATTATTGTATAATCTCCGTAATCAAGAATAAGCTTACTCTTGAATCTTGATAACCTCAACGTCTGACTCTGGAAATTTGAACATCCTATTAACGCTAATAAGCTACAAGAGTCAAAACTATGGGTGATCGGTTTCAGGTATCTTGTATTTTTTAGAGGAATTGGAACTGGAACCGGTTGGTTTTAGTTTTGATTTCTGGTTCTAACAATGCAGGAATTGGAATTAGACCTAAGAATTCCTAATTCTGATTCCCAATTCCAACACTGCAGGAATCGGAATCGAATTGGCAATTCTCGATTCCAATTTTTTAGAATCGGAACCGGAACCGGAACCGAACTGTAATGGGGCTGGTTCTGGTTTTACTTAGTCAAAACTATTGAACAAAATAAAGATTCAAGGTAAGGATTCTGAATTCTGGCATTCTCATTTATTTACTTTTTTTAATTTCACAAAGAAAAATCATTTCCATGGCCGACGTTCTGACCTTGGACGGCTTCAACATACAAAGCCACGATTATGTACACATAATTGACACAAAAAATCTGCTATCTAAAAATAAGAATACTCATTCTACTATACGGGTACACTAATCACTGGTAAAGGTACACCGTTGGATAAGAACGAAGTAATTGTCTCCAATGATTTAGACATACCCGATATTCATACTACATTATCTTCACGACGTTGAACTTTTTATACAACAATATTATCACGACTAATTTACTTACCTGCATGCAATATGGCCGATTTCCGGGTATAAACCACGGGTAAACCCGACCGGAATATTCTTTGTTTCTACCTTTCCAAGGGACCACTTAGGAGTTAGGACCCATTTGTGCTTTTATCAACCTCTGCAGGATGAACGGCCAGAAAACGGAATACGGAAAGTCTGTTTTCGCTTGTTTTTCGAGGTTTTTTCTCTGAAATTCTTCCCGTTTTCCAGAATACAAGTGTCTCCGTTGCAAACATAACGTTTGGATTGAGATGGATCCGAAAAACAATCGAAAAAGTTTGAGAAAAAGGCCATGGAAATTGAGAAGAAGTATTGGAACTTGGAAGTATTAGAATCAAAGGGCGAGTCTGAAATTTCTTGATATTAAACATTATTTATAACGTAAATGGGCATGCAATTTAATTGTGCTCAACATGTCAAGGTTGGTGGCCTTTTGACCTAACTTGTGGCGTTGGTGACTTGGTTCAGAATTAAATATGATACACGCTTCATTTATATAAACCATACAACTTTTTTTTTTTTTTTCTTTTTTGTGCAAAAAATTATGGACCAAATTTTGGTCCTTAATTTGACCTAGTTTAACGTGTTCATATGCTTTAAAATCATTTTTTTAANAAGGGCCAGTCTGAAATTTCTTGATATTAAACATTATTTATAACGTAAATGGGCATGCAATTTAATTGCGCTCAACATGTCAAGGTTGGTGGCCTTTTGACCTAATTTGTGGCGTTGGTGACTTGGTTCAGAATTAAATATGATACACGCTTCATTTATATAAACCATACAACTTTTTTTTTTTTTCTTTTTTGTGCAAAAAATTATGGACCAAATTTTGGTCCTTAATTTGACCTAGTTTAACGTGTTCATATGCTTTAAAATCATTTTTTAAAACAACTTTTTCGTTTTTTATTTTTATTTTCATACCTACCCCCTTATTAACATATAATTTTGGATTTGTAACGTTTTAGACTGATGATAAAAAAGCAAATTCATGGGCTCTTGAGTTTGAGTCCCTCAGACACTAATAGGAGTAACCACTAAAACTCTTACCGACTAGTAGTTTCACACCTTGAAAGATTGGTTGAAGTGTGCACAAACTGATTCGGATACCCTCGATGATAAAAAATAATAATAAAAGACTTAGAATATCGGACGTAAAACTCTTAATATAAAAATAAAAGTCATATATTAATATTAGTAAGGTATTTTAAGAGATATAAATATATAATATCATTACAAAAATACTCTATCAGAGAAGGTAGGATTATTATATATCAACACATGTTTTGCATCGGAGGACAAGGTAACATTTTCGGTGGTTTATGAAAAATGCGTACATTAAATGTGAAATTCATAACAAATATGGATAATAAGGTATATGTTTAATTTATAATGAAATTTTTTAAAAAAAATTTATAAAACTGTAATTTGAAATTTCGGCTATTTTTAAATACCCAAAAAAAGATGTCAATTATTTTGAAAAATTAAATTACAGGGTTCGATCCCCTACATATCTATCAATTTATAATCCACCTATGAGTAGCTCAACAGTAACGGCGTACTAAGGGGGTTGTGTAGGACTATAACCCACAGTCTTAAGTTCGAGTTTCTACTAGACGCAAAGGTAGTACATTTGCCTATGATTTACTTGGGGGACTGCGACTGTGAGTTACTGTAGAATAGCTTCCCCTAAGGATTAGTTGAACTTACCCGACTACCCCAGTTAACAAAAAAATAAAATAAATAAATAAACCCATTTGACAACAACCATTCAAAGACAAGAATATATATTTGTCAAAATGAGATTAGAAAAAATCAAATCAAGTTTCTAGATGAATTGGAGGCTTTAAACCTAAATGAGTAATTAAATTCAAACTAATTAATTCTTTATGTGGACCATGACAACTCAAAAGGCATAGAACATTAAGCATCTGCCCACTAGTTCAAATAATGAAAAGACTATTTCCTCTCTCTTTTTAGTTCCTGTTATGCTTATGTGTGCCTTGCCAATCAAGGAGTAAATTGTAATACTGCCTTCGTATTTTATGTTGCCAAAAGCGCGTTTCTTATGTGTTTCACTAGTCACAGGGCTATTATCCCACAACCCCCCTGAGGTTTAAGTTTCAGTGTTACTCACACCCCAAATGTATTATTAAAGTAGCCCTATATATTTGGAGAATTATCCAATACCTCCCTTCATTGGCCTTAATTGATAATTTTCGTCCATATGGTTTATTCAATATAATCCTATGAGATTCATTAATATCAAACTCATCCATTTTATTCTAAAAGTATCAAAAACACCCCTATTCAATTTTAAAATTAAATCTCCATTTTATTCCTTTCCATCATATACCAACTTAAAAGATCTATTTTTTTTTTATTCCTCCTACCGTATTGTTTCCATAAAACTTTAAAATGGTGAATAGCTTCCACATAATTTATTATTTATGATTTTTGTTTTAATTATTTTTTAGAAAAAAGATTTAATTTTACCAAAACTTATTTTTTAATTTAATTTTTAATTAAATGTTTGTTAAAATGTGTTATATAAATGTGTAACCTTTCCTAGGAAAATATAATTATTAGTTCAAGGTTGATTTTGTGGATTTAGATTTGAGAAATCTGTTGAGTTAATAAGCAACGGAAGGGTAAAATAGACTTTTAATTTTAAGATTGGATGGAGCCATAACATATAATTGACAACAAGGGTGCTTTTAATACTTTTACAACGAAATGGATGAGTGAATATTAGTCGATCTTATAGGGGATAAATAAAATAAGTCAAGACAAAAGAAATCTATCAATTAAGGCCAATGAGGGGAGGTACATATCTGATAATTCTTCAAATGTGAAGGGAGGTCATAGCTATTTTTTCATACCTTTGGGGTGTGAATGACTACAATTGAAACTTAGGGGAGGTGTGGGATAATAATCCCAAATTTAATGTTGTCCCCATGAGCATATAGATTAATTTATAATGTCCATTTAACTTATAGATGCATTTTAGATAAAAGATGATTTAGTAAAGTCTAATAACAAATATATATAAGTTAGATATAAAACAAAAAATATCTATTACGTATCTGGATTTCCACCGTTACAATTGATGTTAAAATAGGCTCGCATGTTGTGTAATGACCCCAAGAAGACGCTAGGTTCCTTGATTGCATGAAGCTCAAAAACAAATCTATGGGGATTGGGCTTAAAGCAAACCTTATTAAGGATGAAAAAAAAAAAAAACCTGGTCGATCGAGTATTTTATATGAAATCCCAAAATTACCATGACTCCATTGGAGATTACATAAAACCTCTAAAAAGCTACAAATAACCCCCTAAAGACTCCAAATCCCTTCTATGAAATAAAATTTTAGAAACCCTCCCAACACTAGTCAAGCACTCAAGCGATCTTTCATAAAATAAAATTTTAACGACCGCTAAAAAATTCAACACCCCATAAATCAAGTAAAATTATAAAAAGATACCTGATGGTTGTAACTAAACCTGGCTGAAGCCCGGGTAGGCCCAGCCGGGTATTGAGAACCCATTTCTTTTTCCAGGCCTAGGGTATTTATATTACATTTCATGTATAAAATTTTATTTTAAATTTCATATAAATTGCAAATTTAGTTATTTTATTTTGTTTAATATAATTAATTTTCCATCATTTAATAAGGTTTTTTGTAAGTATAATCTTAAAAAAACTTACTCTAAACATACCTGTTGTGCCTGAATTTGTTGTAAAGCTCGGAGGTTTTGGTAGCTTGCCCAACTTTAAGCTCACCGCTACAATGTAGAGCTCGCGGTGATCTAAAGCTCGTTGATGCGTTATTAAAGAGTATGAATGCTAGACCTATTAAACATTTGTTGTTACGTGAATGACAACTCACTTGACATACATAACAATGAGTGCCAGGTTAGACCAGGGTTTTCTGATTCGAACCATGTCAGTATGGTAAACGGTAAAAAGAACCTAAAAAAATTATATATATATACACTATAATTCACAAATAAAATCACCACCATAATATTTGATAACACTACATCAATTAAAACAATATACAATAAGAAATTAGATATAATTTTTTGAAACAAAAGAATTTTATAAATAGAATAAGCATAGCATAAAGGGTTGTAATCTACTTAATAATATCCTTGTGACACAAAATTAGTAACATATATATAAATGATATAGATATTTTGAAAACAATCAAGACTTAAATTATAATTCTGACTCGCATTTTGGAATTTGGGTTGTTTTATAACCACAGATTTTATTATTGGTGCTGCGAATCCAATGAATCACGAGAATGTAACGTTAATATTTGAAAAACTTCTATTATTAAATGTTATTAATATATATATGACAACACATATCATTATGTAATTGGACGATAGTGTTAAAATATAGATAATTAAAGTGGGATATTGAGCTGGAATTGCCAATTTAAAATTTATGGAAATGTTGAACAAATAATTTAAGTAATAAAAAATGGCATGATGTAGATGATGAAGTGGCAAATGGCAAATCCCACTTGTTGCCTTGACTGGTCTTCAAAAATTATCCAGATATTAATTTTACCCTTCTGTTTCTGTGGTGTTTTTTTTTTTAACCCAATTTTACCCTCCGCAGTCAAAGAGTAAAAGAAGCCCAAAAAGCAGCTTTTTGGCTTGCTCAAGACAAAAAATATCTTTCTGTTTTAAAACATGAGAGAAATACTCATTCACCCTCAGTTTTTCATCAACTGTCATCCAGGTCCTGCATTTTTTAAATACTAGAATTTACTCCTCTTAAATTTAACAAACCTTTACATAATCTGTCGATAAGGGGATTTTATAAGTGATGCTATATGCACCCCATCAATTCTCTAACTAGCCCTCATTTAAAATAAATCAACATTAATTCCAAAATAATAAAGATTGGATAACAATTCAGACGTGATAGCTCGTAATTGGTCAGACAAGACCCATTGTTGGGTAACAGAACCTATTACATGCTGCCACATCGGGATTGTAAGAGAAAGTTTGTGAGATTTAAAATCACTTTTTAACTCCTTCAAAAATATCAAAACTAATTGAAGTCATTGTTATTTGTAAATAAACCACTCATGTCTATGAACATATAACTCGTTGGACAACAAGTCATCGTATGAATTTTGAGTCATAAACTATATATGGGATTAAGTGTATATGTTGTAGAAAAAAAAAAAAAAAAGATTATTTTGATGCGTATTATTTCATTTCAAAGTGAAAGAAAAGATCATAACGCTTTATCTAGTGAGAAGGTGTCCGAAGAAATGTTAAAATAGGTGAGAGCTACAGTTTTGATACTTTTAAGTAAAAAAAATTGATTAACTTGAAATAGAAGACATTTGATGGGGACGGTCTATTTAGCATTACTTTTAATATATACATATGAAATCGCTTTTATCACTGACAGGTTGTTTCTCATTAACACTGTTACAATCAGGGTAATACTATACTTACAATTCAACCTTATAAATTATCTCTCATAATCTCGACGTAACAGTTTACAATTGGTCAGCTTGTAAATGGGTCTCACTTGTCCATTTGTAAGTTGTCATGTCGAGATTGTGAGATAAAGTTTGTAAGATTGGGTTGTGAGCTAATCTTTATCCTTACAATCAGGATGTATGTCCCAATATTTTAAATAGTAAGATTTTGACATAATTAACCTAAACCCTAGGGGGTAAATAGAAATTAAGTCATTTTCAAACACAGACAATTTACAGACAGTAAAAAAAACTGCAAGCAAATCAACCAACTAAACCAAGCTGTAAAAACTAAAGCCGGCTTCTCAGCTCCTCCATTAAATTAAGACTGATTTCTCAAAACTCTTCATTCATTTCATTCATTCACTCTTATCACTCTCTCTTTTGATTCAATCAAATCTCGACCGTTTATACCGACAATATCAACAAAAACAATATCAAGATTTTTTTTTTTTTTTTTTTTTTTTTTAACCATTTTCCCAGAAACAAAGAAAAAAACTGAAACAAGAATTATAAAAATCAAAATATTTAAGATTCTTGTTGGGAATTTTTGTTTCAGGATTAGAACAACCAGAACAGAATTATTTAGAAGCAAACACAAAAACCCCGTTTTGTTTGCTTCTAAATAAACTTTTTTTGTTTTCAAAAACAGTCTCTCTGTCTCTTGTTTCATTTGTAGAAGAATCATTGAAGCATTAACAGCTTGACAATGCAACAATCTAGCCCTTAAAAAAGAAAACACATTCTCGAGGACCCACTTTGTTGTTTTTGTTCTTTAGCGACAGATTTTGCCTTCTTCTCCTTCTTCTTCTTCTTCATTTGATATTCTTTTTAGACGTACGTATAAGAAGGTTTTTTTTTTTTTTTTTTATATTAGTTTATTACTACGACAAAGATGATGCTAGGCAACAATGAACAACAACAACAACTTGAAAATGGGTCCTCGGGAATGAACGTAGAGGGAGGAGGAGGAGGAGACGGTGGAGTTCTGTTGAAGAAGGGGCCGTGGACGGCCACGGAGGATAGTGTTTTAACGGAGTATGTAAGGAAACACGGAGAGGGTAACTGGAACGCCGTGCAGAGAAACACCGGCTTGGCTCGTTGTGGCAAAAGTTGCAGGCTCCGTTGGGCTAATCATTTGAGGCCTAACTTGAAGAAAGGTGCATTTTCTCCTGAAGAAGAAAGGCTTATTGTTGAATTGCACGCTCAGCTCGGTAACAAATGGGCTCGCATGGCTGCTCAGGTTCGCAAAATTCTTTCTTTGTTTTTTTGTTTTTTCCGTTTCTGTGTTTTAATTAAGAACATGTTTTCGACTGTGTTGTTTTCTTTCTTGGGAATGTAATATTGTCGATATGTTTTGCTTCCAGAAAACATTTCTGCTACCAAACCAAAACCCTTCTGCATTTGAAAACAACTTTTCTTGTTTTTATTCCTATGAAAAAAAAAACTCCTTTCTGTCCTTTTCTCTTAAAACCAAAAACAAAAACAATCTGAGTATCTCCCTAACATTCATTTCTGTTTTTGCTTTCTGTCTTGTTGTAGTTGCCGGGAAGAACTGACAATGAAATCAAAAACTACTGGAACACAAGAGTCAAGAGACGCCACCGCCAAGGCCTGCCGCTGTATCCGCCGGAAATTCAACCGCAACACAAACACCAGCAACTCAACCATCCACAATCTTCACAATCTCATCATTCTTATCACTCAACTCCTTCAACTCCCACAACACCAAACTCAGCTTCCTTCTCTTTCCACACAACTCATACAACTCCCAACACCCCCAACGCCAGTCACCACCACCACCATAGCTACCACAACCACCCCTACCCTTCACCGTGTTACAGCCGCAGCCAAACTCCCAACCCTCTCTCCCCAACTCCTCCACAGCTCTCCCCTAGCCTCCAGTCTTCAACTTTCCCAACTCTTTCTCTCTTTGACTCCACGAATGGCCATCACTCCAACCATCCAAACTCAAATGCAAATATGAACAACCCCTTTAATATGCCTAGAACTCCTCCTATTCTTCAAAACCCAATTCGTTTTAAACGCATTCATCCTGATAGTAATAATATCAATAACAATCCTAGTAACAACAACCAAAACATGGAGAATATTCATAATAATATGAATATGAGTTATCAAAATAACAACTTTTCGCTTCCTTTTAGTCCACAGTTCTTGAGAAATTCTTCATCGCCTATGCTAATTCCCCAGAGTACTAATAGTAATAACAATAACATTAACAGCAATAATCATAACAATCCTTTCTCAAATAATTCTAAGTTGTTGTCACATCCTTCGTTTTCATCTATTCCCGTTAACTTCAATGCTCAAAACTCATCAATGTACCGAAGCCCGGTTGAGAAAGATGGGTTTTTGAGCAATGATTCGGGAAGTTTTAGTTTGAAACCGGAGCTTCCTTCAAGCCAAGCATTGTCTCAGCAAAATGGAAATGGTGAGATGAATTTTGATAATGAGAAGTTGAGTGTGTCGAGCAGTGGAAGTGGGTTGTTGGAGGATCTTCTAGAGGAGGCTCAGGCCATGGCTAGCAACTATGGTGATGGTTCAAGGCGGCTAAGCGGTGTGGGTTCCATTGAAGATGAGAATAAGCGTGAGTTTGGTGGGTTTAATCAATGGAGTGATTCAAATTCTTTGAATTTATCTTCAGGTACTAAAAGATGAAACCTTTATATATATAAACTTCAAATGTTTGTTTAATCATTAACATTTCTGCATGTGTTAGATTCTCTGATTAATTTAGTTTTCACACACATCAATTCTCATTATGAGCTTTAATTGTGATTTTTAATGAATCTTTAACTAGAATTTTGTGTCTCTCTGGATCTCTGCATGAACTTTAGTATCAGTTTCAGTGAATAGCTTCAAGTTTAATGAATTAATGTTCAGTTGCTTTCAACTCTCTTGATTATGCTCTAAAATGCTTTTAATTATTATCAGAATCTGAATGCATTAACTCTCTCTCATTCATGTGCTATCAGATTCCATAATATGATTATTGAGTGTAAAACAAAATGTCATTATCATCGTCATTTAGGGTAATCTTCATTAAATGTTCTTATCATCCTGTTGCTTATAAACCCCATTTTGGCATATACACAAAGCACATTTATAGAATACAGATTGATTGTCAACAATTCTTTATTTTCCTTTAATATTTCTTACAGGAATGAAGCCTAAGGAAGAAAACGAGCCAGGTCAAATGAACACGCATGAAGATTTATCAAAGTTCCTGAATGTGATTCCTTCAATGCAAGTTCCAGAATGGTATAATGACTGTGGAGAAGCCTCAAATTGCCAATCTTCAGTAGTAACAGATGATAATATTGGACTTGAGATGCAGCAAATAGCTTCATTATTTCGAGGTGACTCTAACACAGGCCATGTCAGGAGCAATCAGGGCTCCTGCTCTTTTGATAACTTTCCAGGAATCTGCTAAAGACTGCAAAATGGAGTTTTCTTATTTTAAATTGCATGTCTATGTACTGAGTTGAACTTGATGTGGCTTTTTGTCCCATCAATAAACTAATAAATAAATAAATAATTATTTGTTTGCATTTTTTTTTTTTAAATGACCTTAGGTTTGTGGGGCAAGTTACAATCATCTCAATTAATCCTCTGGGACTTTGTTGGGTAAGAGTGTTGGTGGTCATTCCCATTAGTAACCGTAAGAATTCGAACTTAGAAGACGATGTTAAATCCTCCTTTTGTTCTTTTATCTTTAAGATGACTCAAACTTTGGAAGACCATGTTAGATTTTTCTATACTTTTTTACCGTCAGGTCACTCGGTGGTGGTTAATTTATAAAAATGACCTCTCTTTTTCATGTTGATTTTCTTTACTAAGACAGGAAGATCACTTAGTTGCATTTATCCAAAACTTTATCTGCACTAAAATTAGCAGTTCAAAATGTGGTAGAACAAGTTATCTATACTGCCAAATTAGGTGTGGGGGCATTTTGTTAATTTTGGAAGCAGAATAGTTTCATTATACAAGGAAGCTTTGGTGTTAAAGCTAAATAAAGTGAGATTGGTATTTGGTTCTGGTGATTCTCTGAGTTTTGGTGGGTATGAAAAAGTACAGACTGGACATTTCCAAAATTACAAAGGACAGACTGTACATTTTTTAAATTAAAGCCTTCCTTTACTATTCTCAATAAACACTAAAAATACAATACAGGCTCTAATTTATTTAGTATTCAATATTTATCGCACTCCCTCTTATTTATTAGTAAATATGCATAATTTAATTTATCGGGGTATTCTTTTAATATTTTTTATTTTGGTAATCGAGGTGTCCGAACTAGTTTACGTATGCCTCAATTAATCTTCAGAATCCATTGAACCAGTGTTTTAAAACCCAACCCGGGGTGAAACCCGGCAAAGTTTCCGGGTCTTAGGTTGACCGGTTTAACTGGTTTGTCAGTTGACAAAAACTTTTAAATTCATTCAAATATGCCCCTAAAAATTACATGGAAGTCCCATGTGTTTGAACTTTATCAAACGCACCCCAAATACAAATCGACCAGCGACTGATTGGTAATGGCAGCACTGCAGATGCAACCCCAATCGTCCATTGAGCTCATTTCCATTAAAATCCACCCAATATCTGGCCGAAATAGGTTCATTTTGGCCAGATCTCACCGACGCCGACGTTGGCATTCCAAGCCAGATCTCATCCACGCCGGCGTCGACAACCCTCCCCATCACCTAGAAAACACTCCCCTATTCCTCCCGACCAAAACCCAGCTCACCCCACCCCTGTTAGCCTCGCCAATCACCGGCAAAATTCCATTGTTGCCTCTGCCATATTTATTCGATTTCCGGTTGATTTACTCACAGGAAATCAACGCTGTCACCACCATTACATTCAGCGGCACTTAGTCTTCAAAAGCCCCAACCTTTCGGCCGTTGATTGTTCGCCAATCATCCTCCCAAATCTTAGGGTTTTGGGGTGAATCGAAAAAGTTAAACCGGGCCCGTTGAAGCCTCCGGGTCCTGGTTCAACCGGCCGGGCCGGGCTGGGTTTTAAAACACTGCATTGAACACCCTACAAGCTTCAAGGACCAAGTAAACCATAATGTTATTGTGGTAGGTGACCCCAAGTTTGAACTTAAAGAAGGGAGCAAACCTCTTCCCTTGTAGTCGGATGACAAACCCTTTAATCACTGGGGTTAATTATACCCAAAAAATCTTGTATTAGAGTTGTAAGAGAAGTGTCTATCACATAATTTATGGGGTGCGACCATAACAGTATTCTTTTAGTATTCAAACATTCGTTTATTGGTGTCAATAAACTTAATCAATTATGATGAGAATTTTTCGTCTTAAACTTGTTAGTATTTACAAAGTGTTTTATCTGCTAATAAAAGAACAGAGAAATCTAAAAGAAAAGAATCCATTGTTTAAGAAACAAGAATATTGGAGGATGGTCTGGAGGTATACGAGAGTAGTGACATGAAAGGTACTTTGTCGACACTGATGAACTTGTAAAAGAACTGCGCATTTGCTAGGACGACAGAGAACATGAACTGCAGCTACCCCATGTGAACTCAGTAAGGACATTATTCCTGGACCACTTTGAGGGATGAGGTGAAAAAAAAAAACACCGCCTGTATTTTCAGTTTCAGTGCTATTATAATACCATCAGTTTAATCTGAATTTTTCAGAGTTTTAAAATTTTAATAGATTTTATGAGTTATGACAAATGTCTATCAATAAACAGGAAAGTCTTCAGTGTAATGGATGCACATACTTTTATGTCTTGAGTTTTTCAAACTTTTAAATTTTTAATATATTTTACAAATAAATGGGAAAGTCTTTTTATGTAAACCGCCTATAAAAGAGTAAAAAGGTCTAATACGGTTCCTAAATTCGAATTTCTACAAGCCCTAACAAGGGTAGTTATTAAGTAAATTTACCCAGTCGTCAATTTTAGGGTCTCGAAAGACTAATTGAGATGTGTATAAACTGGTTCGAACATCTTCGATCAACAAAAAAAAAAAAAAAATGTTCTTTATGTAACGGACGCATATACAACCTATCAATAAGATGCCTATACAATCTATCAATAAAAGTGTGTTTCGACTTTTTATATCATTTCGAGGAAGATTAGATTAGGAGAGCATGAAGCATGGCTATAATTTAATTAACTTATGGTTTTGAAATTTGAAAGTTATAGACAAACAATCAATTGTGCGAGATTCAACCTTACCATATATATATATACACAAGATCACAAATTATATTCGTTGCCTAGAAATAAATGTTATTGACTTTCATAATAAAAGTGGGCATCTTGTGCTTCTAATTATGCTAAAATGGGTTAATCTAACTCTTAGTGAACCATACGCAAGTCTTTTCTTTGGCAACTACAAAACTGGGGGTATTTTCTTCCATGTTGACTTGGCTTTTCTTAAAAAAAGTCCTTTCAAAATTTGTCAAAGCCAGCTTTATCAACATAAACATTCAATATCCTTTTTATATACAGGAATACACTACACGTAATTATCCTTGGGTGATCGAATGGTTCGATAGTGATTAAGTTCGAGTCCCTCCTCCATTGCTAATAAGGATAACCACTGAAGATCTTATATAACCAGTAGTTTTATGGTCTCGAGGGATTAACTGAGGTGCATGTAAACTGATTTAGACACCTCTAATTATTTAAAAAAACAAAAAGGGGCTAAACCTATAGGAAAATTGTAGGGCTTAAGCTTAAAAGGGTTCAACAACGAAGAAACTATATAATATTAGAGGTATCACGTCAACATTCGGTTTAGGGACTCCATAAAACCATTCATACAAGTCAAGTTATTTGGTATGATTGGCGCGACACTTATGGTATTCTAGATTTTCTTCCGAAACTATTGGTCCGTGCATAATGAATACACTGATTTGAGGCTTTAATTTACCAAGTTCACCTTATTTCATGGTACCTTAAAAGTTTACATTCAGATTCAGCATTCACATCCACTTTGAATTGATTTGCTCTTCAATTTATGTTTGTTGGGTCTCTCTTTCTTTATATATGTCTCAGTTTAGGGGAAGGTGATTGTTAGAGGAAAGGCCTCTCTCTACAAATGGCAAAAATGTTCTTTAAGACGTCCAAAATATTGCCTTACTTGCAGCTGATAATCAGGAAATTATCAGAAAATTTTCTCGTGTGCATGCTCTCACCCTCATTTCTCTCTCTTTTGTAATTATTGACTGAATCACCCTTTCAAACTTATCATATTTATCAGCTGATAAACGGGTAAAAATGAAAGGGGAAAAAGAGTCCCACAAGTCAAAATGGGTCAAAGGAAGCAATATTGAGAAGAGAGTATGCAAATTGTTACCAGACTGGGGAAATTTCTATTTTTGTGACATTGGTAATGTTACCTCAGACAGTTTTTTTTTTTTTTTTTTAATTACTTGGGATGTTCGAGCTGGTTTACACGTATCTCAACTAATCTCTGAGACTTTAGAACTGTTGGCCGAATAAAAGCTGCAATGACCATCCTTATTAAAGAATTGTTCTGAGGCTATTAATTTGATGAACAAATCATCAACGAGATAACGAATAGAGGTTCATCAAATTACATGATGAATGCAATCACAAGCATTAACATAACCTACATCCATTGAATTTCATCAAGGTTGACCCTTTTAAGCCATATTTGATCAGAATTTTCTTTTACTTCGGAACAAGAAAAATCTGCTACCAATTTGGGTAACACAGGTGCCATTTTTACCATACTGCCTAAAGTTCATAGTTGTTGAAAGTTGAAACACAATCAATATGACCAATATCTTAAAACCTTCAAATTTCATGTAATTCTCTTCTCAAGAATCTTAAAATGAATTAAATAATTACTTTTTCCTGGAAAATTAACACTAATTGCATGCTAAGCATGGTTTCTCTGTGAAGCTACTGCATATAAAGTTCCAAAAACTGTAGTTGTAACTGAAGAACAAGTTAATTTGGAGTTGGTTAAATTAGATCCAAACAGTAGGATTAATTTATTCATAGAATAGAAGAAAAGCATTAATATTTACTGCATCAAATTAATATAAGATAGGTCTCCACATATCCAGAAGTTAAGAAGAGGCAGAAGCTAAGGAGAGAGCATGAGTAACCATGAGCTCCCTCAGTAAATGCAAACATCTAAGGATTTACATTTTTCCATGAAATATTTTCAAGGTCATTATTTACATTAAGCTTAGGTTGACTCCTTAGAATGATGCTCCAAATGTGTTCTCTCCACTATAAGTCATGTAAAGGAAGCCATCCTCATCTTTGTTTTCCTCATAAATTGCAGACATCATGGCAGCTGCAACAACACAGATAAATATATTAAATAAGTGAATAATTGTGGATACTGAATATAAGGAAACAATTATTGTTACTTTCTTACCTGTAGGTGGCAAAATGTTCTTGACAAAGATGAAAATAGCCTTCTCAGCACTGAGCTTTATCCTCTTCCGGACAACATAAACAAATTGCCCGACAGTCAGATCAGCAGGAACCAGATATCTGCATTCATCGTGCCATAGAACTTAGAAGAATATTATCATGGGGAATAAGGAGATACCCAGGGTGCATCTTAAAGTAGCTAAAGTTCAAAATGTGGAAACCATTATTATAGTTTGAACATTGCAGAAACAATTCTTACTTCAAGACTGTAAAAACTTCCACAACTTTCCATTATCACAATACCTTGCCACCATCCCTCACATATGCTCCAACTCTTGAAATATATGCACAACAGTTGGGCGCAATTATGCTAAAGTAAAAACTAGGCTCCAACAGATCTAATTCATAAGACTTAACATAACATACACTCTGGTCCAAATGACAAACAAAAAGATCATCCTTGATTCATCCATCCAGATGTCAAAACTAATATGCTTCAGTTTCCACAGACAAATAGAAAACCAGAAAATATTGATTTGTTAAAAAGCAAAAGTAGATGTATTACTAACTTTTTCTTGTCAATGTCAGGTATGTCACTTCTTTCAGCTTTCTCCACAATTACCTGTGCAGCAAAGAAGAAAAACAGAAGATGAAAGTGAACACAAGCACTTCAAGCAAGAGATAAACAAATATGAAACATTCATCAAGAATGATGTAAAGTTCATACTGGTATTCTATCAGGATACTTCTCCCTGATTCGGGCAGCTTCCGCCTGCCTCCTTTCTGCCATGTAGAAAAATTAACATATTCAGAACAAGTACAATAAGGCTAAGCATCCATGTGAAACTTAAACTTTCTGTATATTGAGAACAATCTAGAGGAAGCTACCAGCTTTGATCTTTCATCATTATACAGGACCAACCAGTGACAGTGAAAAGTATACTCAATAATCATGCAAAATAAAATAAAAAAGGGTGGCATTTGAAACGTGGGGAAGAAAACATAGACAATTACTGATATTCATTTAAACGTATTCGATCCTCATTGAAATGTATTAAAGTAAAAATGAAAAAAAGCAACTTTGAAGAGTAATCCAACCAATCTCAGCATATTATCAAATCTTCCTCTAAAGTTGCATAAAATCTATAGACAACTAATTGGTTATTCACAAACAGGATGTAATTAACAACATAAAGCCTCATGTTATCCATTCCCCAGAACAGAACATGCTGAAGAGTGTTGCTAAATTAATAATGTCTAACATCTCATATGTATTCATGGCATATTTTCCTTCACTAACATGAAAATCATCAAGCATTCTCAGAAAGCCAAAGACCAGTATCCTCAACAAAATCCGTAATTACAAGGATTTCATAAGAAAAGAGAGAACCTAATTATCCCATTAAAAAAAAAAAACCAACAAAAACCCAGATCAGAAAATCCACAACTGACGTTACCAAACTGTAAAAATTGAAACTTGAAGTGAAACATATAATCAAACAGATCAGACATGTAGCACAACATCATGAACAAAACAATGATCAAATCAATAAAAAAAATTATCAGATAAAAAAAAAATATAATAAGAAAGCAAGAGTTAAAAAGGAGGGGACCGAGAGGGTGTTCAAGCTTGAAGGAGCTCTTAGCCATGGTTTCTTCTAAGTCTCTTCTTCTTCTTCTCTACTGTCCTGCTAATTAAGAGAAAACAAAAAAACAAACAAACAATATAAGGTCTCTTTCCAAGAAACTTCCTTTAATTAATTTTATCAGAAAAACAAAAACCAACAAAGAAAGATTCAAAGAGTGAGATACAAGGAAAAAAAAATTTACCAGAAAAAAAATATCTATAAAAGGGAAAAAATTGATAAGAGAGAAAAAGAACAGAGACTCACAGGATATAACTTTGATCTGATGAGAACGAAGATAAAGAATGAACTGGGATTCTATTTTCCGGGGACTTAAAACGCCGTCGTTTTGTTTAGTTTGGAGTGGCCCAAATCCATCAAATTAAATCATAGCCCAAGATGAAGGTAAGATTTTAGTTGCCTTCAAAATTATGTCATGATTTTTTAAATTTTAAAAGAGAATTTAAAGTGAAATTTACTTTAATTTATTTAACCTTAATTAAATAATTGGTTGAAATATTCTCATATAAATAGTCAACTTACCATAATTGTGACAAAAATAATGGTATCTAAGTCCTTATATGTTTGTGTAATTAGATAATGATTTAAAATCACACGAGTTAATGTGGTTATCGTCGTTGGATTCATACGTTTATTAGCATGATTGAACGGGCATACCCATATAAATAATATTACTAAGTTTATATTTATAAATTAACTGTTACTTAGAGATACAAAATCAAATATTTCTTTTATAGGATGGTATTGCTTCTATTATAATAAAACTTGTTCTAATTCAATGAATCTATTTTTGGTGCATTTTAATCTTTTGATAAGATTATATCACTCATATGTAACACCCACCATATTAAACCTAATATATTATCTATGTTATTAAAATTAAATTAAAAAGCTAAGGGTATCTTACACTTTCACCCCAAAAGTTTGGCATGAAATTTTTCCTCCTCAATATTGGAAAACTAACAGTATCACTCCCAAATTGTGTTTCTATCAATTAATACAGTGATATAAGGGGGTTAAAAAGATGTTTTGAATAAACAGTTGACAATTGTGAACAATAGCTAGAAGTTTAGCCAAATAGTTGATAGTTTTAGCTGATATAAGTAATGTTTGATCTATGTCGGATCTAGACATATAGTAGATAGGTTTCCAAAGGTATTGTCTATACGATTTTGTCATGAAAAGGCGTTTATGGGTGATGTTTTGAATAAAAAATTGACAATTGTGAACAATACCTAGAAGTTTAGCTAAATAGTTTATAGTTTTGGCCGATATAAGTAATGTTTGATGTATGTCAGATCTAGGCACATTTTAAGTGGGTTTCCAGAGGTATTGTCTGTACGATTTTGTCCTGAAAAAGTGTCTCTGGATGATAAGAGTGTCCTTATGTTATATAATCAACTAAGACCCTCATCTCCTAACCAATGTAGGACTTTGGCACCAACACATAACAAAACCTCTATGCGAGGGTTAGAGTGCCAGTATTAGGTTCACAAAACTAAGTGGAAAAATGTATGTTATTACGATCAAAACTCAGGGATAACAGTGTAATATATTATATATGTTATTATGTTTATCAAAATAAAACTGAGAAAATATAATGATAGTAAAGAAATGGTAAAAGAAAAAGCAGGGGTGCTTCATCTTTGGTAGGTGAGATGGACAAATTTCCGAGCTTTTTCTAAGCAAAGTCATGATCCATCCACTTGCCTAATAAAGTGAAATTGTGTTAGGTGCAAAGCATGTATTCTTTTTCATTTTATCTACAGTTTTATAATGACATATTACCAATGATTTAGTACCATGACAAAGCAATCTCTTCTGAGGTGTGTGAAAGTTCTTACTTCTGATAAAGCTTGCTCTTGTATGAACTCTTGATATATCTATTCAAGCTTGTCTTTTATGTAAAGGGTTTCATCAATTTCCCCAGTTTACAATTTACATACAGTAGCTGGTATTGTTGCATAGATCTTTACGAGAGGATCAATTTGTTCAAAACAGAAGCATAGACTTGTGTGAAGTATTATTTATTCAAATGTCTAAAGTATAAGAGCTCAATCATTCACCATGGAACTCATAAAGCTGTTTGAAGGAAAANACCAACACATAACAAAACCTCTATGTGAGGGTCGGGGTGACAGTATTAGTTTCACAAAACTAAGTGGAAAAATGTTATTCCGTCAAACCTCAGGATAACAGTGTAATATATTATATATGTTATTATGTTTATCAAAATAAAACTGAGAAAATATAATGATAGTAAAGAAATGGTAAAAGAAAAAGCAGGGGTGCTTCATCTTTGGTAGGTGAGATGGACAAATTTCCGAGCTTTTTCTAAGCAAAGTCATGATCCATCCACTTGCCTAATAAAGTGAAATTGTGTTAGGTGCAAAGCATGTATTCTTTTTCATTTTATCTACAGTTTTATAATGACATATTACCAATGATTTAGTACCATGACAAAGCAATCTCTTTTGAGGTGTGTGAAAGTTCTGACTTCTGATAAAACTTGCTCTTGTATGAACTCTGATATATCTATTCAAGCTTGTCTTTTATGTAAAGGGTTTCATCAATTTCCCCAGTTTACAATTTACATACAGTAGCTGGTATTGTTGCATAGATCTTTACGAGAGGATCAATTTGTTCAAAACAGAAGCATAGACTTGTGTGAAGTATTATTTATTCAAATGTCTAAAGTATAAGAGCTCAATCATTCACCATGGAACTCATAAAGCTGTTTGAAGGAAAAGCTATGGATTAGTTCCTTTGTTCTTCAACCTCCTTGGAAGAAGAAACAGAAGGAGGTTCAAACAGGCTGAAGAATCTATAAGCTGAGATTACTGCTAAAATGATGAAACATATAAGAGCCAAGGCATGGAGAACAAGAGCTATCTTCATTTTATTGCAAAATTTCCCATATGAGCTGCAGGCTTCACTCCATGTAACTTCCTGATCACCATTGTAAGTTAACCGCAGTATCTCTAACACTGCAGCCACTGATGTCACCATCAAGTAGGCCACAATCTGCTCAAAACAATCCATTCATACACAGACACATGGAGAAAAAAAAAAGTTAGCGAGCTAGCTCGACTACTATCACATCTCACATCGCTAGCAAACGAGAACATGAATTAGTTCATAAGTTTTGAGTTAGAACCTGATCAGAGGCAAAGAAAATCCAAGCTTTTGAAACAAAGAATTTGAACCATGAGGAAACAGCAGCAAAAAATGCATACGCACCACATATAGCACTGATGCAGACCATGAATCTGTTGAACAATTCTTAAATTTTTTTAGAATATGCATAGAATGAATTAAGGTTATAATAAGAGTAAAAAAGAAGGAGAAAGAACTTTATCTTACTTGAGTCCTGTCAGATTGCTGAACTCTAGTTTCCCATAACTGGGGTTGTCCTGCTGGTTAGTCACAGTTAACCAAATGGTTGCAACACTAAGAGGAATGGAAAAGATCCTGAGGGAACAATCAAGGAGCTTAAGCATTGGTGAGGTTTAATTAATGAGAAAAGGAGTGAAAGAACGATGAGAACGTTGGTGAACTGAAAGTGGGAATGTGGAGATAAATAGTTTGTGATCTTATCAGGTCTTGGAATGGAAAGAGAGAGTTTATAAGGTGTGGAGTTGTAGGTTTAGTGGGATGAGTGAGAAGCAGTGGGCAGTGGGGGCTCTGCCTTTTCATTGCAGGAATCATGATACTATTTGTTTGGTATTATCTAGTAGAAATGGTATCATTGATTCAACTGCCCACTGAAAGTTTTCTTTTCTTTCCTAGTAATGCTTACAGGTTGGCCAATTGACTTCCATTTCAGTTTTTCCAATGTTTACACTTGGCCGCGTTTACACTTGGCTCAGCCATGAGTTTCTGATATCTATTCTGCTTGCATCTTTCTTACTTCATGGTGATGAATGTGAACAGATTATTTCAAACACTTCAAAATTTTGGGCTCGACTATGTCAGAAAACCGAAGTGCTTCGAAGAAAGAATTACACGCATTTTAATTAATTGTCGGGTCTATTGAACATCCTATAAGTCCAAAAGATAAAATAAGTCACAATATTATTATGGTAGGTAGTCTCAAAGTTTGAACCCAAAGACTCAAGAAATGGAGATAACGTCATTAACAGTCAGACTAATCTCTTGGGGTTAATCAAGTATATATCTTTGACTACAAACAGTTTTATTTTTAGGTTACAAGTGTTCTTCTCCCAAAACGCATCTAATCAGTTATGAGAACTCAATCTTATAAGCTGCATCCCAAATTCATTAACTAAAGATGCGAGATGACAAACTTCCTGCACTTGGGACTTTGCATCTTCATGAGGATGTCACACGAGTCCGATCAGATAACAAACCCGTTTCAAAGTGTGAAGTATAGACTTGACCATTGATAAGATTAGAAAATTAAGTCCGAATTCATGGAGCATAAAATTGATAAAGTGAGCTTGAGTAAAACTTATTTTTAAAAGCTTACTAACTCAATGGAGGATAGAGTCAAATTATATATATACACCATAACAACCTACTAATTCAATGATGTATCAAATTCAATTTCAATACCCTCCCTCATGCATTGGGTCCAAAGCTATCATCGGGTCAAACAAATGGTTCTGATACCATGATAAATTGGGTTTGAGTAAAACCCACTTTCAAAAGCTAGCTCAAGGGAGAAAGAAATCTAACTACATATATACACTAAGACAAATTCAACTTCTTCATAAGTAAATAGCCTAATAACTTATAAAAATAAAGAAATTATAATATAGAAGATTATAAATCTGACATTTTAAGAGTAAAATTTACTAGTACTGGTGAGATAAATGAGTTGACACACTGGATATGCAATCTATTTACCTGCATAATGGAAGCTTAAAGATCAAGAAAAGAAGTCATCAAAAGGGGGAATCTTCATCACTATTTTATTTACAAATCACATAAAGAAGGTACAAATCTATTAAAAGCAACACAAAAAGCCGCTAATTTATGAAGCACAAGGCAGCAAAAGCTATTCTCAGCACTTATTATGAAGGTTCCATAAGCTATGGCACGCTTACAAAATGCCCCCCAGAGAGCAATCAAAGAATGGTTAAAATACAAACTCTTCTCCTTTCTTAAAACTGCTTTTGAGTCTCTCTCCTAGTCTAAAATTGAGCAGAAAACTCAGCAACCAAAATCTCTCCTGCTTGCCTGATGCATATCTGTCTCATTCGATGTTTCGATATTACATAGGTTTCTCTATAGCAACATCCCCAAAACAACCTCAAGCCCTTTACTTGCTTCCTCCTGAGTTTGGAAGAAATGTTGTTTTTGGTTTGTTTAGAAGACTGCACTCCACAAAGCATTCTCACCTTCCCCACAACGCCGGTGGACCTCTTTCATCCTCTCAACAGACTTGCAGACGCCACTGCAGGTCCAATCAAACGAGGCAACACACACATTGCCTGCCTGAGCCTTCCACTCACAATCTGTGGCAAGTATCCAAATTATTAGATTTTTGCATCACATTTTGACAGTACATTCACCAAGCATCTAACTGTAACTCTTTGTGCAAAGTTTAAATCACACACACAAAATGAACTATCCAAAAAGGCCAAATCCAATAGATTGTATATCATGTATGGTTGGCAGGACTTTAGTCTGCTTGTTTCATGATATCAATGGAGTTCAGTGTTGGAAGACTGTTAATAAGTTCAGGAAAGTAGAACAACAGTAGAGTAAGTTTGTAAAATTACCAGGTGGGGTACCGCAACATAGTCTCCTGTCATCTATGTGTTCTACATCCAATCCGATAAACCATGACCCCAATGAAACATCCTCATTGGCATACTTGTGTAGCATATGCCTAATTGATATACAAGTGAAATGGTTCAGAGGAGATGTATATTGCTACACAGAATTTAACCACTTATTATTCAGATGATCTGGAACTTACCGGTTAATTGATATATAAGAAGCCAAATCTTTAGAAATAGCATATAGCTGCCCTGTAGCATGACGGAAGTATTTGTTTCCTTCTTCACCAAATTTCCAATATTCAGGTTCATGGTACCTCACTCCCCTGTGCATTGAAAAACTAATTAGAAAACATGACGGATAGAAACGAAAAGATAAAATGTTAAATTCTCCAAAACACAGGCCATATGGATATAGAGTAAGAACGTTCTTGGCTTACTTTTGAGCTAGGACTGGACCAGATTTCATGCAGCCTATGTACACTCTGGGTTTGGATCGATGCCTAGCCAAAGTTGCTCCAAGAGTTGCTGCAATAGCATGATGGATGAACAGTATGTAAGAACAAGGAAAAGAAAATATATTTTCCAGTCTTTGATTAAAGCAATTGGAGGAAAATATTTTTCAGTGATGAGCGGCCTTCTGAGTGCTTCGATTCATGTAAAACTTAACAATTTTGGTGACGTTTGCCAATATAGCATATCTAGAAGTAAAGAAACAAAAATTAGTAAATAACTCTTTACCTATATTTACATGTACATCATCATCAACTTTGACATAGAAATCAGCATTCCACAAAGCAACCGCAGTGGCAAAAAATATCTTCGTCTTGGCTGACAATTCAAGGTAACCTTCTACATGTTCCTGCCCACACATTTATTTTCAAATTTTAGTATAGCCATTGTTCTTTTATAAATACCAGCTCATAATGACAATGTTCATACTATCTGCGTTAGAGTATTTTTGTTAAAACAGATTGAATAAGGAAAGAGAGAGGAGAAGCTTACCAGCCTCAAAAAGTCACCATGTCGTTTATCTTCTGCTTCAATGGCTCTATCAAGGATACCACCAGAAGTAGCACTGAGATGAACAAAAAAAATAGAGAAATATGTCAAATTTTATCCATCAACCAGGTATTTGGTTTTGCAAATTAAGACTGCCCTATATACATCATTGACGTACAAAATTAAATGTAAATGTGTCTACAGGACGAAAAGCTTCATAAGTCATCTTCAATGCCTTATACAGCTAAAATCAGCAACAATCAGCCTGATTATCAGGTCTTGATCGGTGAAACAATATTCACTTGATAAAATTCTACCTACGAGAAAATGTATATATACCTATTATGAACTATGACACAAAGGTTGGAAAACTGTACATCCAAATTTTTCAATCACATATAAAGCTAATCTAGACTGTTTAAGCCTATCTGGGTCTTGGACTTCTGAAATTTGCAAATCTAACAAACTTATTCATGTCACTATCAATTGACTTCCAGACCATTTTTCATGTATGATGATATTTCTTTAATTTAAGAATAGATTGTTCTTTTTCACCCATATTAACCACAAAATTAAATTTTGAAGTCATGTTACCACCTACTTATTAGGTTTTCCTGGCTATTAGAAACATTAACGCTTCTGAGACATCTCCTGATTAAAATTTTTCTGTTTATCATGTGGTGCTACCCTCCTCTATATAAGTTCTAATTTCTTTAGTTGCTGTCAGTATCTACACCATCAGTACCTCTCCATCTTGACATTTGTCTGTAGTAAGAATATGATTATATTATTAACCCATAAGATCCTTCAAATGTGAAATCTATACTTAGTTTAAGTTTTCCTTTTGTCATTCTTAATTATATTTTCTAAATGTGTACGACCCTCGTGCACATACATAATAGAAAACTAAAGCAATAAACATCTTTTCCAAAACTTTTCTCTTTCCAAGTAACTTTCTTGATTGCTAAGACGTCTTTCAGTAAAGTAACTGTAACCCCACAATTTGTGACCTGCATCTGTGCCATGATGGAAACAGCATAGGAAAAGAACCATATTCCATAAAGTATATGAAAGAGGGACCAGAAGAGCACAAGAGGCTTAAATTTACTTTAAAGAAAGCTATGCAAATTAAAGATGTAACATTATTCGACAAAACCAGATTTGAACACAAATGAAATACCCACCTGTGACCTATTACAAAGCGCATGACAATGCCCTTCTCTTCCTCAAGCTTCCTTCTTTTTTCACCTAGTTTTTATACAGAAGATTCAAATGTTACTCACAGATCAATTAAATACTGTATGTGAAATATTATATAAAAGAAAACAGTACGGTCAATGAAAAACATAGCAAGTAACTAATTGACAACCTTGAGGCATCCAAGTAGCACGAACTGAATCTCTTCGTTTTCGGCTGCTAAAAGCAGTATTAACTCCTACAACCATTAAATATTTCCTTTTACCACTTGATTCGCTAATCTTTATGTCATCTGACAAGGGAGAACCATTAATAATTGATTCCTGAGCAGCTCTTGCAGCAGCCAACTCCATCTCCAAGTTTGAGATTGTTTTATCCAATGTTCTGCATTTCATATACAGTCAAAAGTTTAACTTACCACTAAGATCACTGTAATCAAAGAATATAAATCCTATAATATACTCACTGTATAGCATGATGGGTTTTTGAAACCTCCCCGATAATGTCCTCTGGTTCACGCTTTGCATCCTTCTGAAAAGATAAAGAAAGGAGGCACCCCACATGTTAACAATCTAACAAATATTCAGGTCAAGGTGAAAACATTTTCAACTTTCAAGTGATTGAATACTCACACTAACTGGATCACAACCCTCAGAAATCAGCTTTAGCTTTTCATCCTCAACCCCCATTCCTCTCGGTATATCTTTAACTTCAGGCACTGTCCACATTCTGTTACCAACACAAGCATATAAGGTAAATAAAAGCTTATGTCCTATAAAGTTCCATGTTATTATGAGTATGTCTTATAGACAGAAACAAAATATTCATGCTATAAAATGTAGACAACCGTGAGCCAACCACAATCAACTCAAGTCAAATTCAATAATTAGAGTATGAAACACAGAAGGAGAAACCAAAGAGCAAAGAAAGACTATATTACAACTATGGGAGAAAGTACAGCCCATATTTCGTGAGGAAAATTACTGTTTGTCACTGTTATAACTCCTTAATTTTCAGATATAGGACTATATTGTGATGGTAAATCCTTAAATAGCCAAAAGAATTAAAGAAGAGTTCCATCACTCTTCAGGCTTCAAGGGTCTTTTCTGGTTTTTATCAAATAACAACCACCCAGATCCTGAATTCAATACGCCGATACATAAGCAGCAGGTTATTTGGAAAAAATTGAATTGCCAAAGAAGGGAAACTGAACCCAGAGCTAGAACATTCATAAACGGCACCTCTAAAGCACAGCAGCAGTGACCAAGCATAGCAGTCAGACGGTTAAAGAACTTTGTTTGATATGTTACCGTAGCAACCGACAGTTCAAACTTCGATTAAAATGGCAATCGACCGCTCAAACTCAAATTCTGAACAGTTTTGAATCCATAACAATAATTCCAGATCCATCTACTAACCATAGAATCCACCAAACCAAGGAATTAAAAGAAATTAGAAATCATTTTTCATAAGTATTATCAACACATCTACACGAAAATTTCATCAAAGTCAATCCCTCCCAGAATTAACAACAGAACCAGAAACCTGATAAACTAAACACTACCAGCAAATTACAAATGCAAGCTAGAAGTGCAGTTCAAGAATTTCAAAACAGAAAGCATAAAAGCAACAATGAGAAAAATTACCTATCAGAGAAGAGCATCCCTGCACAAAAGCAACCAATACAAAACAAAATAGTCCATTTTTTTGAAACTGCATTCTTTGAAGCTGACTCAAACCCTCCTCCTCCTCCTCTACTCTTCCAACTCATTTTGCTCCTCTTTTATCTCCTCAAAACAGCCAATCAAGAGCCAAATCAAAACAAACGCATCTAAAATCTCAAGTCCACCAGCTCAAAAACCCCAAATTCAGATCCAAAAAATCAAATTTCCCCCCTTTAACACAACTCAGCTCTAAAAACACACAAATCCATGAACAAACATGCTTTAATTCATATCTCCATCTCCTTATCCACCTCCAGAAGACTTTAAAGACTAGAGCTTGCTTATGTTTTGGCGTGTTCTGAGACTTTTTCTTTGTGTATATGACCAGCTAATGTGGCTGGCTTAAGGTTCTTAGGTGGAAATGGAATAAGAAGACTCAACAACTTGACTGTTGATGAGAGTTGAACATTTATTTATATGTAAAGATAAATAAAATACTGAAAATAAATATATGAAGAAAATGGTTGTAAATAAATTACCCAACCGACCTTTAACAACCTTTCCTATTAAACACTGTTTTGTCTTAGTTGTACGTATCTCCTTCCTCGTATGACTCTTGAACTACCCCTCTTAAGCCTGTCTTGTGTCTTCAATAAATTATTCACTGTGCCAAAATATGTTGTTGGTTTTCATCATTTCAGTTAGTTGCATCACATAATTTTCTTGATTTATGCAAAAAATAAATTAATCAATAAGTTTTTACGAGATTCACGATTTTACCGCATTAATACATAACATCTTACGTCACGAACGAATGAATGAGAACTTAAATCAATTAATAAACTACAACAAAAAATTTCACCAGTAGTATTTCTCTTAGTAACCAATTCAAAATTATGAAACTTGTAGTATGTTTTTGAGGAATTTATATTAAATAAATGATGTATAAAGACAATAACAGTTTACCCTTCTAAAGAGATTGATTAACTTAAAGAAAGTGGTGATGGGATGGAACTCCACTATCTTCTTTACGGTATGTAATAAAGATTCGCGAACAAACCACACTTAAGTTTCAATTATCATGTCAATTTTTGAGATTGCAAGATAAAGAAAGGTTGAGTTCTGGAAGGTTAAAGCTAACAGTGGGGTGGTTATAATCAAATAAAGGTCAAGAACAACGGACTTGTTAATCATTGTGTTTCATCTAATTAAGATTGCATTTTGAGATCAAAACTCAGAAGGGTTTGTACTTAAATGAGTAAATAAAATCATATCAAAATGCCATGTTTAATGAGCCTTTTTCTCAGATTATAATGCCTGTTGTCCCATTTGGGGAAGACAAAATTCCAAGCAGAAATGCTAATAGAAGCTAAACTAAAACATGGCGAAGTCACATGCTATTATGAGAGAAAGAGAATTAGTATAGGCTGTCAACCTTTTGATTAATTAACATAGCTATGGAGTTTCTTTCTTTCTTTTTTCTGTTGAGATTTTGTGTTTTGTTTTGTGTACTTGAAATTTAAGAGATTGAAGATCAATCATTCTAAGGCAACAACAGAGATGCAGGGACAAAGAATGTATGTACACATGCAGCACGTGGAGAGAACATGAGCTCCAATAATGGATTCTACTTCTACAGGTCATGATAAATCAAAAAAAGCCAATTTGTGTACAGTCCTTTTATTTATTTATTTATTATTTTTTTTTTTTTAAAGATAGGGTTCATGGGAAGACAACACTCAACAGGGCCATGCAAAACTTTCTGTCATGGATCCTCATGATGGTTGCCGAGCCATGTTGTTGTCCCTAGATTTTTTGAAACCTCCATGTGACTCACATATACATCTATATTAAAGGAAAATACATATATATATTTTATATGACCAGAGGTGTCCAAATAAGTTTATATACATCTCAACTAATCTCTTGAGACCCTAAAACTACCGGCCAAATAAGAGCTCTAGTAGCTACCCTTATTAGCAACCAGTGACGGATCCAGGATTTTGGTCGAGGGGGGGCTTCCGCGGCTCCGTCATTGTTTGCTAAACAACTAGTAAAAACTTAAAAAAAAATCATGAAACCTTAAGCAAAGAAAATAATACAATATCAAGAACCTAAGAAAAAGAATGCAACAACGCAATACTTTCCTATTTGAATAAATTCATGAGAAGCAAAAATTTGAGTAAATGTGTTAAGTAAACCTTGAGCAAAACTTTCTTTCAATTTTTTTTTTTTTTAATTTTTATTTTTGTTTCCAAAGATTATAATATAAATTTTAATAACTTTGACCAGACCTAACATAAGCTAAAGTCAACCAAAATTTAAATCAAGTCAACATTGCGTTGACATTTAATATGAATTAATAAATAAATAAAAATTCTTGATATAAACATAGATAGTAACTCAAATTTCTTTATTTATTTTGAGTAGCAGGATGGTGATATTTGAAATGTAGAAAAGTGGTGGGTGAAGGGTGAAGAATAACATCTTTTAAAACATAGTTAAGGTTTTAATTTGGGAAAACAAGTTCATTCTTAGACATAAAGCACAAAATAAACTCACAAGATCCATGTTTTTTTCCCTCAAATTAGAATAAAAAACCTCAAAAAAAAAAAAAAAATGGACGATTCAACCTAAAATAAACTAAATTGAAATGAGCAGTACATATACCTAAAATTGATAAAATATAAAACAGAGCTAATTGTGATATCTTGAGTAGTGAAAGCTTCAACAATTTCAGTCTTAAAAGTTTTAAGATTGAATAGCATAAGGAAGAGAACAAGAGAACGAGAGAGTAAAAAAGTGGAGAGAGTTTTAAACTTTTAATATGATATGGGTTTGGAAAATATATATTAATAACAAGTTTTTTGTGGGTCTAGATATATATATAATAATTCTTATTTTTTTTAAATTTGAGGATAGCCTAAGTATATATGTTAATATCAATTTTTGTGGGTCTATATATTAATAATTTTTCTTTAAAACTTGAGGGTAGGCCTGACCATCAAAGGGGCTGAATCCGCCCCTGTTAGGAATCGAAGAGGAACTCAAACTCAAGACCTTTTGAGTAATACATTCAAGGGTCTCTATCGAACCACTTGACCACCCAATAATAGTAGTTAAAAAAACAAAGAAAATGAAATATAAAAAAATTGTTATTTGAAATTAAGGAGAAGAGGATGCAACCCAAAAAAACTAATTGAGTTTCAAATTAGGAAAAATTTAGTGTTAAAAAAAAATTGATTAAGCGTATAAGGTTACAATTTAATATATAAAAAATGTTTATTTAACAACGAGGGATACTGATAAATTAACAGTAATGTTAAACTTACCGACTCAACTACCGATTTGGCATACTGACTCATGTATATTGAGTTAAATTTTGAGATATGGATAATTGGAAAGGTGAGTCAGAATGTCAAATTCGGTCATTGGGTCGGTAAGTCTAGCATTACTAGATAAATTAAATAGTGGCTAAAAATCAGTTCCCGCTAATAAATCGTTGCAAGTATGAGCTTAAAACAAACGACAAATATATTGAATTTGATATGTAGATTGGTTGTGTATCAAAATTAAAACAATATATTCATAAAGTTGTAATAAATTTAAGGAACATAGGGTTGCCATTTTATGACTTTAATTTAAAGCACAATTTCTTCCTTTTCTATTTTTTGACTTTTGAGATATTTGCTTTAATTAACCAAAAGCATCAAAAGTTCAAAACCCACCACGTTTGGATCACTTGTTATTATAAACATCATTTCTCTAGTCAAAAAGTGATATTGAGAAGTAAGTTATTATACCAACATGATTGAATTTAATTGCCTTTACTAAGTTCTTAGGTTTAACCTCTAATTATGTTACTTATGTATCATTAGATTTTTTTATTTTTTAATAATCGGAGTATCCAGACTAGTTTGCGCATACCTCAACTAATCTTCGAGATTCATTGAACATCTTATAAGCCCAAAAGAACAAGTAAACCACAATATTATTATAGTAGGTGGCCCCAAGATTTGAACATGGGAACTCAAAGAAGAGAGCAAACCTCTTTGTTGGTCGGACCAATCCATTGAGGTTATATATCATTAGTTGATGGTTCAAATATATTTAAAGTTTCTAAACTATAATAAGTTAAAATGAGTTTTTTTTTTTTTTTTTTTTTTTGGTGTGATCGTTTAATTTGAAATACATTGACCGTTATCAGAAAATATTATATACTTTTGAGATTATTAAAAAAAAATTTGAAAAATTAGAAATTTGAAAGTTCAACTTCATAAAAAGTAAAAAGCAATTAGAAATTTGAAAATTAATTAAAAACAAAAAACAAAATCCTAATTTCACACACTTAATTAAAAAATATATTAAAATCCAAGATATATATATATATGGGTCAAAATAATATGATCATTTAAACGACCTCCACTTAACACTTATATATATATATATATATAAGAATAATGTTAGTTTTACAAAGATACATACAAAGGAGGTATACAAAGACAATCCTCACCCTTGATTTTCATGATTTCTCTCTCTTTCTCTTTCTCTTTTTTCGTTTTTTCTTTGTTTTTCTTCTGGATGATGTCACTTTGTAGCCCTTTTATATGGGTCTTTGTAAGGATATCATTTTTCATATATATATAGTAACTATACATATATCATTCATACAACATTTCCCATATAACCTTAGTGGAAGATATGATTGCTTAATTTAAAGTTAAAATAAACTTTCACCTAATTATATCTTGTCACATAATGTGTATGAGAAATGTTGTATGAAAATAATGTATGTATAGTATTATTAATATATATTATATATATATATATATATATATATATATATATATAGGTCAAAATAATATGATCATTTAAATCGATCCACTTAACACCAAACACCCACCTAATATAACATTTGAAAAATTAAAAATAAAATAAAAATATGGGTAGAATTTGATATCTCTAATATATTTATTTATTATCATTGAATAATAATTTTATTAATATTGCGGAAGTGTATACTTTGTTCTTTAGTCTTTTGATAAATGCGTTCCACCAATAATTGTTGGTATTGTGGCCGACAACAGGGGATAATTTTCAAGTTACTTTTAATTAAGAATTATTATTTTTTTGTGCACTATTTTATTAATAAACTTAAATAACTTATTTTCTCCTAAAAATAAAATTAAAACATAAAACATTTATCAAACGTTTAATTCTTTGCTAAATAATATTCTAAGTGTAATGATTTCGATTCTTCATCACATTTTTTATGTTGTTGTTTTATTATTATTATTTTTTTAATCAATGTGTTCGAGTCAGCTTACATGCATCTCCACTAATCTTTGGAGGAGATTGGTGCAACAATCCTCCGCCACAAACCCACAACCCCCACTTAAATCGTGGATGTTCAGATGGGGAATCAAACTCGAGATCTATCCACACTATCATCAATTCGCTC